CTGTAAGCCCAATGACAAACACCAATACTTTCCTCTTGACACTACAACACAAGTAAGGAATGTAGTAATGTCAACAGATTTGTACTGTAAGCCCAATGACAAACACCAATACTTTCCTCTTGACACTACAACACAAGTAAGAAATGAAGTAATGTCAACAGATTTGTACTGTAAGCCCAATGACAAACACCAATACTTTCCTCTTGACACTACAACACAAGTCAGGAATTTAGTAATGTCAACAGATTTGTACTGTAAGCCCAATGAAATACACCAATACTTTCCTCTTGACACTACAACACAAGTAAGAAATGAAGTAATGTCAACAGATTTGTACTGCAAGCCAATGACAAACACCAATACTTTCCTCTTGACACTACAACACAAGTAAGAAATGAAGTAATGTGAACAGATTTGTACTGTAAGCCCAATGACAAACACCAATACTTTCCTCTTGACACTACAACACAAGTAAGGAATGTAGTAATGTCAACAGATTTGTACTGTAAGCCCAATGAATTACAACAATATCTTCTTCCCTGAGTTGTCATCCATAACTCTGTACTAAAGTTGAGTATCGCCTACAGTCAGGCTTCAGGGAAAAAAAAACATTAATAAAACTAAGGATTCTCTCGTGCAAACAATATTAGCCGTAATGAACCTTTTTAAGTATATAGGGGAATGGGTGAGAAAAAAAACATTCCCATTATTGCGGCACACCATCCAAATTTTGCTGAATTATTATACATTATCAATGAAAATTTGATGGAAATCGATACCAAGATCTTGATGTGTTTCCCTAGTTTTTGGTTTCTGGCCCGGATTTGTTTTCGCTTAATCGATTTATGACTATTGAACAGCGGTACACTACTTTTGCATTTATTTACCCAAGCTATCCGTCCACATTTGCCTGAGGGTTGTGATAAGGTATTGTTTTTCTCTTACAATAAACATGACCTTATGAGAAGGTGGCCTTTGAATTGAGGTTAACATGCACGTATATAACTACAACGGGACAAGAATCGGATGACTATACAAATTAGGTTTTGCTTAATAGGGGCGACCTTTATAGCAGGTTTGATCTTACACAACAAATTAAACATATTCGTACAGACGAAAATTAATAAAAACATTGACTGATTTAGATACTTAAATACACGCAGAAAAAGAATCTAGTGTTTTATATTAACGACAGTTTGATGTTCCAAATTGTGAACTGTTTGAGTTACAAGTATATTACTCATCAACGGACAATTCATTTGAAATGTAATATTTAAATCACTATTTTGCATTCATGAACAATAAAATAGATAATTTTATTATAATGTGTATCATTCTATACAGTATTATAGGATTACAAGATATGTTTTACTTTGTAGTATTGCATCTGTTGATAACATACGCATTTTGTGTTTTTCAATTAAACAATTTGTCCTTCAAAAGCTAGTTTTACAAAGAACACCGATACTCGACAGGTTTTTAAAAAAATCAAATGTCATTGAAGGCGAACTTTACAGTCTCATAACATCATAATGAGTGTCTTGTGATAAAATTGACCTAAATTCAGAATTAAATACTTTAACTGTGTGTTTCACTGATAAAATACAATGTTCATAGCAAATATTTATTTATGTTTTTTTTTGTGAATGTCACTTTTAAAGAAATGATTTATATATGAAATTCTTTCTACTTTAGAAGTTTAAGTTAAGCTTAAAATAGTTCTACATAAATTATATCAAATGTATGTTCATCGAGAGGGTTAATAGTATCTCCCTCTGTAAATTAAGTTATATCCTGTTCCAACAGCTTGTTAGGAGACCTAAAAGTATTTCTAAGGTCAACTTTGCCTGAGGGTTTCGATAAGGTGTAATATTATAATTATCTTTGTACTTCAGTTTTTATAAAAAGTAAAAAAAATAAATGGGGAATGTGTCCATGGACACAGATGATGCCCCCGCTTGCATATCATATAAAGTTATAAAGGGACATAACTGAAGAACGGTAAAGGTGACGCTACCCAAATTTGTAATTGATCTGAGTTTTGTAGTAATTAGTAATGTGTATAAGTTTCATAACATTTGGTTGAGGCAAACTTAAGTTAGAGAACGGAAACGAAAAATTCAATATTTTTTTCCTTTTGTAAAGGGGCATAACTCTAGAACAGTTAAAGTGACACCACTAAAACCAAACTTGATTTGTATTTTGGGGTAATAAGCATTGTGTATAAGTTTCATAACATTTGGTTGAGGCAAACTTAAGTTAGAGAACGGAAACGAAAAATTCAGCAATTTTTCCTTTTGTAAAGGGGCATAACTCTAGAACAGTTAAAGTGATACCACCAAAATTCACACTTGATCTGTATTTTGTGGTAATAAGCATTGTGTATAAGTTTCATATCAATTGGTTGAGGCAAACTTAAGTTAGGGAACATAAACTAATTTTGGGACGTACGTACGTACGGACGGACAGACGGACGGACGGGCAAGGTTTAAACTTAATGCCCCCTCCGCTACGGCGGGGGAATAAAAAAAAATTAAATCAAGGGAAAGTTCAGAACAGAAAGTCCCCTATCAAATGGCAAAATCAAAAGCTCAAACATATCAAACGAATGGAAAACAACTGTCATATCAGATTAATGCAACTGTTTATCATTTTACAATTATTGATTATTAAGTGTGCTGACATTTGTGTTTTTATTTAAAGTTGCCAAGCAGAATCAAACAGGACGTTACTTTGGGTTTTACTGGATACCTTCAATTTGTCTGTTGCCTGTTAGAATCAATGTCGAGCTTTGAGTTTTACTGCAAAACCACCAAATCATATGATGCAACGCAGAATCAAAAAGAACGAGCATTAGTGTTTAACTGGACGTCATGAATGTCTTTTGCCTGTTACAGTATCAAGTATAACCTGTTTGTTTATCTGACACAATAGAATTGCCTGTTGCCTGGCAGTATCAAGGACAACTTTTTTGGTTCAACTGACACAATTGAATTGTCTGTTGCCTAGCAGTATCAAGGACCTTTTTGGTTCATCTGACACAATTGAATTGTCTGTTGCCTAGCAGTATCAAGGACAACCTTTTTGGTTCAACTGACACAGTTGAATTGTCTATTGCCTAGCAGTATCAAGGACCTTTTTGGTTCAGCTGACACAATTGAATTGTCTGTTGCCTAGCAGTATAAAGGACAACCTTTTTGGTTTAACTGACACAATAGAATTGTCTGTTGCCTAGCAGTATCAAGGACCTTTTTGGTTCAACTGATACAATTGAATTGTCTGTTGCCTAGCAGTATCAAGGACCTTTTTGGTTCAACTGACACAATTGAATTGTCCGCAGAAATTGTCTGTTTCCTGTTACAGTACCAAGGATAACCTTTTTGGTTCAACTGACACAATAGAATTGTCTGTTGCCTAGCAGTATCAAGGACCTTTTTGGTTCAACTGACACAATTGAATTGTCTGTTGTCTAGCAGTATCAAGGACAACCTTTTTGGTTCAACTAACACAATTGAATAGTCTGTTACCTAGCAGTAACAAGGACAACCTTTTTGGTTCAACCGACACAGTTGAATTGTCTGTTGCCTAGCAGTATCAAGGACCTTTTTGGTTCATCTGACACAATTGAATTGTCTGTTGCCTAGCAGTATCAAGGTCAACCTTTTTGGTTCAACTGACACAGTTGAATTGTCTGTTGCCTAGCAGCATCAAGGACCTTTTTGGTTCAGCTGACACAATTGAATTGTCTGTTGCCTAGCAGTATAAAGGACAACCTTTTTGGTTCAACTGACACAATAGAATTGTCCGCAGAAATTGTCTGTTTCCTGTTACAGTATCAAGGATAACATTTTTGGTTCAACTGACACAATAGAATTGTCTGTTGCCTAGCAGTATCAAGGACCTTTTTGGTTCAACTGACACAATTGAATTGTCTGTTGTCTAGCAGTATCAAGGACAACCTTTTTTGTTCAACTGACACAATTGAATTGTCTGTTTCCTAGCAGTATCAAGGACAACCTTTTTGGTTCAACTGACACAATTTAATAGTCTGTTTCCTAGCAGTATCAAGACAACCTTTTTGGTTCAACTGACACAATTGAATTGTCTGTTGCCTAGCAGTATCAAGAACAACATTTTTTTGTTCAACTGACACAATTGAATTGTCTGTTTCCTAGCAGTATCAAGGACAACTTTTTTGGTTCAACTGACACAATTGAATTGCCTGTTCCCTGGCAGTATCAAGGACAACCTTTTTGGTTCAACTGACACAATAGAATTGTCTGTTGCCTAGCAGTATCAAGGACACCTTTTAGTTGTAACTGACACAATAGAATTGCCTGTTGCCTAGCAGTATATAGTACAACCTTTTTGGTGTAACTGACATAATAGAATTGCCTGTTCCCTGACAGTATCAAGGACAACCTTTTTGGTTCAACTGACACAATATAATTGCCTGTTGCCTAGCAGTATCAAGGACAGCCTTTTTGGTTCAACTGACACAGTTGAATTGTCTGTTGCATAGCAGAATCAAGGAGAACGAGCTTTTGAGTTTAACTGGACACCACCAAATTATTTGTAGCCTGGCAGAATCACTGATCAGCTATGGGGTCTTACTGGATACCACTTAATTGTCTGTTGCAATGTATAGAATTATCAAGGAGAAAGAGCTGTGGGGTTTACCTGGACACCACTAAATTGGCTGTTGCTAGCAGACTCAAGCACAAATTTGGAATTCACAGGACACCTCTTAATTGTCTGGTGCTAGCGCAATCAACGACAAATCTGGAATCTACAGGACACCACTTAATTGACTGTTGTTAGCAGAATCACGGACCCATTTGGAATTAACAGGCCACCACTTAATTGTCTGGTGCTAGCAGAATCAAGGACCCATTTGGAATTAACAGGCCACCACTTAATTGTCTGGTGCTAGCAGAATCAAGGACCCATTTGGAATTAACAGGCCAACTCTTAATTGTCACTGATTGGATCAATGACAGTTTAACAAAGCATCATAAACTTTATTACTTATCACAGTAAGTACATACATAAACATGATAACATCAACAATTAAATATTGCACATATTGTCAAAAAAAGTTTGGTCACTGGAAAATATTTATATTCCTTCATAAAGTTTTCAAATTATTCAAATGCACAGTCCTGAACTTTAAACTAATTATATAACTTTAAATTGCAGTAATGTGATATTCTTTATAATAATAACTTCCAATCTACCATGTAAAATAAAATAATTGATCATCGAAAAATTTATTCTCAGCGACCAACTTTAATAAAACTGATTAATGTGTATAGTATAACCATGGTAACAAAAGAAACAGTATGTTAAGACAAAATAGAACATGAAAGTCTCTTATATCAGTATGTTACAGACTTTACAATTTTCATAAAATTAATCCAGCAAGTTTGTCCTGAATATTGACCTCATTCTGGTATACAATCAACACCAAGTTCTGAGGGAAGAATCAGTCCAACTCCTAGTGCTTCTCTTTCTAATGAGGCCAGTTGTCTGAAATAAATTAACAGCATTCAGATATTATCAGCCATAACAACCAACGATCAATCAATCAATTAATCAATAGCAATTTGCTCCTTTACAGGCAGACATATTTGAAGAAGGTTGGGTGATCTACTATAAACCTAGAAATGCTTTATAAGGGACATAATCATTTTTTTTTAACTTGTCCATTCAGGAAAGTTGCAAGAAAATCAACTTGTCCAACTTCTTAAGTCAAAAGTTAAATAAATGGGGAATGTGTCCACGGGACACAGATGATGCCCCCGCTTGCATAAAACACTATAAAGGGACATAACTCAAGAACGGTAAAAGCGACGTTAACCAAAATTGTACTTGATCTGAGTTTTGTAATAATAAGCATTGTGTTTAAGTTTTATAACATTTGGTTGAGGCAAGCTAAAGTTAGAGAAAGGAAACGAAATATTCAGCTATGTTTCCATTTGTAAAGGGCATAACTCTAGAACGGTAAAAGTGACGCCACCAAAATTCAAACTTGATCTGTGTTTTGTGAAAATAAGCATTGTGTATAAGTTTCATAAAATTTGGTTGAGGCAAACTAAAGTTAGAGAACGGAAACCAATTTTGGGATGTACGGACGTACGTACAGACGGACAAGGGTAAAACTTAATGCCCCCTCCGCTACGCCGGGGGCATAAACAATTAAACAATGTTGTGAGTGTCCTTACCTACTGACACATTTATTAGATCATGTTCAAACTCTAGACTTTCAAGCGTTCCTGATGAATATTAATCAAGGCAATGCCTTTATACACAATTAATTTATTGTTTGAAAAATTTTATTTTAATGTTTTTTTGATATATAAACCAGTGTTCTTGTTAAAGCTTGTACATGAGTCCTGGACACATAATTTTCTGTCTAGACGTACCATATCATTAACCCATGCATCTATGGGACATGTCCTGTTTACACTAGTAATTATCAAGAACTGTTAAAAAGAATCCGAAAATAAGCTTTTTGTCAATGTTTTTTACCGGAAATTGTCTTCCGTTATCACAAATTGTAATAACGGTAAAATCCAAGAGAAATCAAAAGTAATGATGCAATTAGTCATGTAATATCCCCTTATCAATTAGTGTAAAATAGATTAAGAGTGTAAGTAACTCTATCAGGTATTTACCCTTATTGATTAGTGTCATATTACACTCTTGATAATTTTATAACCTAATTAGTAAGTACAACAAAGGTCCGGTCAATTTCGTAACTAATCAACCGTAAAATTTAAAGAAGTGTGTATAATATAATCAATAAATAAAATGTCATTCTAGTAAAAAAAATCAATTAACTATAGCAATAGACACTTGCTTCTCAATTTTTACAACTTTTTATCTGCAACAATTTCGGTATCCGCCAAAATATTTAATTGGGATTTAAGAATCCACCTAAATAAAAACCGCCAAAATTTTTCGTATACTTTGTTGCCCCTCAATCGCGAAATTTTACACCAGCGAAAATAACCCGCTATACAGTAGATGTCAAAGAAGCCAATTAATTATTGAATGATTGCAAACCAAAGTATTTAAATTGCTAATTATGTTATACAACTCTTTAGAAATAATGTAAACTCAATAATTGTAGGTCAATAAAGGGAAAAAGTTCTAATTTGATGATTATTCACTCACTTGTCCCATTGGACAACTAATATGTTGATTCAACTTGTCTGACACCTACATTTACTTGTCCCATACAATAGGACAAACAGTAATGTCAAGCCCTGAGGGTGTTCCACTTTTATTAGCCTGGTTGCAATTGCAACTTTACAGTAGTTATCAGAACTTTTTTAAATATGTTGCCATTTTCCCCCATTTTTATTGATGGTTACACCTATGTGGAATCGTCAAGCAGAATTCACAAAGGCCATAAATACTGTATCATTATTCCCCCTCCATCTTCTACATTATTAGTCAATGGTAGTCATGTTTTATGGTTGATTGGTATAAAAATTTCAGCAGTTTTCACACAACAACAAAATGAAACAAATACATGTTATATGAGCTTAAATATCACTACATGTAGTAAGTATGGTTACCTCCTAAGTTTGGTGACCTTTGACCTTAATTCCTTGTCATACTCTCTTATTTTACTGACTTCCTGCCAAGCCTCCTTCTGTTTTGATTGGTCAATTATAGATCTCTGGTATAACCCAGACCACAACACCTGCAAAAACATAAATAAAAGGGACATTCAAAGGGTAAACAAATCCAGCTCCACGTGTGGCACCCGTGTAACTGACCTTATATGAATAAAATTAATGTGAGATATACATAAGTGAGATAGCTATGATATAAAAACACAGACGAATCAAATGTCAAAATAAACTTTGCTTTTTAAAACTACAATATGTCAAACAGAAGACAGTTGCTATTAAAAGTCATATAATTCTACTGAATTTAACAGTGACTACAGATTTGACAGAGATTTATTCAGAACTTGGTGTAATGCATCATAACTTACCTCCTTGTAGGAGAAATTATGATGCTTTTTATGTTATAATCAGTGTTTATTTACTGTAAATTCAGGAATCATTGCAATGTTTTTATTCCTGTAAAAATTTGACAGTATCAGGTTCTCAATAATAAAAACTCGCATTCATAATTTCAGTAGTGATCTTCTTCACAAAACTTTCCTAACGGCATCAATCAAATCTCACATTTTACCAGTAATCAGTGACTTGCTCGCAATAATAAATGAATGCATTAAGGTAGCTGGGGTGTCTAAATGTTCGACAATAGATTTTTCTTAAACTTCTGTAAAAGACATCTGGGTCAATTTTCTCTCAAATTTTAATATAAAAACAGGGGGTCACAGAACTTTTTTTCTCTCGTTATAATACATTGAAATAAATGAAATAACTGTTATTTTATATTGGTTAAATAGGGGAAACTTAATTTTTCTTTATTGAGGAAACATTGAACGATAGAATTGGTTAATAAAATGCTCCGCAGGGCGCAGCTTGATACGACCGCAGAGGTCGAACCCTGAACAGTTGGGGCAAGTATGGACACAACATTCAAGCTTGATACAGCTTTGCATAATATTTGGATTGTGATTAAATATTTGACACAGCACAGGTTTCTGACACAGAATGAATGTGGTCTAAGAACTTTTAAATTGGACATTCACCTATTATGGTCCAATATCCAAAATCTAAATACATGGTTAGATTCAGCATATCAAAGAACCCCAAGAATTCAATTTTTGATGAAATCAAACAAAGTTTAATTTTGGACCCTTTTGACCTCAATGTGGACAAAGTTGATAACGGGGCCCAAAAATCAAAAATCAAAAATCTAAATACATGGTTAGATTCAGCATATCAAAGAACCCCATATATTCAATTTTTGTTGAAATCAAACAAAGTTTAATTTTGGACCCCGATTTGGACCAACTTGAAAACTGGGCCCATAATCAAAAATCTAAATACATGTTTAGATTCAGCATATCAAAGAACCCTAAGAATTCAATTTTTGTTAAAATCAAACTAAGTTGAATTTTGGACCCTTTGGACCTTAATGTAGACCAATTTGAAAACGGAACCAAAAATTAAGAATCTAAACACACGGTTAGATTCGGCATATCAAAGAACCCCAATAATTCAATTTTTGATGAAATCAAACAAAGTTTAATTTTGGACCCTTTGGACCTCAATGTGGACCAATTTAAAAACGGGGCCCAAAATCCAAAAACTTAATACACGGTTAGATTCAGCATATTAAAGAACCCCAAGAATTCAAGAATAAAACCCCATTGAAATTGGTCAAGAAATAAGCAATTTATACGAAGTATCTTCTTTTGCACAATACTGTGCAATTGAATATTTCTTGCTATTGCGCAATGCTGTACAATTGACAATTTCTTGCTATTGTGCAATATTGTGCTATTGGATATTTCTTGCTATTGCGCAATACTGTGCAATTGAAGATTTCTTGCTATTGCGCAATACTGTGCAATTGAAGATTTCTTGCTATTGTGCAATACTGTGCAATTGAAAATTTCTTGCTATTGCACAATACTTATTATATAAAAATTTACACATCCTGTTTGGTGTGTATCTCCTACCATATCATTATTATTTGCTTTTAAATATAAATCAGAAATAACCAACTTAAAATGGAAAATTTTAAAAGAAAAAAAAAAGGAAAAAAAGAAAAAAAAGGAAAAAAAAAAAATCCCCCCCCAAATTTTTTTGAACCCCCTTATGATTCATCACCCCAAACTCAATCCCAGCCTTCCCTTTTTGGTATGGTACCTTGCAGTACAATTTCAGAGAGATCCATACACTTGAACACAAGTTATTGTCTGGAAACTAGAAAAAATGTGTTTTTGGCCCCTTTTTGGCCCCAAATTCCTAAACATTAAGGGCAATTACCCCCAAACTTAAACCCAGCTTTCCCCCTGTGATATGGAACCTTGTAGTACAATTTCAGAAAGATCCATACACTTACACACAAGTTATTGTCCTGAAACTAGAAAAATGCTTGTTTTTTGCCCCTTTTTGGCCCCTAATTCCTAAAATATTGAGGCAATTACCCCCATCATCAATCCCAGCCTTCTTTTTGTGATATGGTACCTTGCAGTACAATTTCAGAGAGATCCATACGCTTGAACACAAGTTATTGTCTGGAAACTAGAAAAATGCTTATTTTTGGCCCTTTTTGGCCCCCAATTCTCAATTCCAGCTTTCCCTTTATGATATGGGACCTTGTAGTACAATTTCAGAAAGATCCATACACTTACACACAAGTTATTGTCATGTAACTAGAAAAATGCTTGTTTTTTGCCCCTTTTTTGGCCCCTAATTCCTAAAATGTTGAGGCAATTACCCCTAAAATCAATCCCAGCATTCCTTTTGTGATATGGAACCTTGTGGTACAATGTCAGAGAGATCCATTCACTAACACACAAGTTATGTCTGGAAGTTACAAAAATGCTTATTTTTGGCCCCTTTTGGCCCCTAATTCCTTTACTGTTGGTACCATAACCCCCAAAATCAATCCCAACCTTCCTTTTGTGGTAATGAACCTTGTGGTAAAATTTCATAGAGATCCATTCACTTAAACTAAAGTTAGAGTGTGAAAACCAATGTGTCTTCGGACGACGCCGGATGACGCCAGACGACAACAACGACGACGCCAATGTCATACCAATATACGACCACAAAATTTTTTTTGCGGTCGTATAAAAATTGACCCCCCACAATTCCTTTTTATCCCCCCCCCCCTTTTTTCCCCAAAAAAATTCTTTCCCTCAAGATATGGTCATAATCTCAATTCAAATTTCCAAAGGAGTTGGCAACCATAATTACCCATTTAAATTTACCATAGTGCTAACTTAATCTATTTTATAATAGAATTAAAAATATAGTGTCAAATCTTTCATATGGATTTTTTTGTAAAAAAAAAAGATGCAACATTTGCAGATATTTTTACTGGTCTTCCTTTATAAATATGTATTTCTTTAAACATAATTTAAAAGCAGTGTAAGGGAAGTAACCAAAACGTTGTATTTGGATTACCTCCCTTACACTGTTTTAAATTATCTTTATTGTTCATTAACCATTACTTTATACATAATTTAAAAGCAGTGTAAGGGAGATAATTTCAATGATGTATTTGATTTATCTCCCTTACACTGCTTTAAATTATGTTTTGTACTAAAGTATTTGTCCATTAACCAGGACAACCTTGTTTTCCCCCTTTTTTGCCCCTAATTCCTAAACAGTTTGAGCCATAACCCCCCAAAGCAAATCCTAACCATCCCTTTGTGGTATGGAAACTTGTAGTATAATTTCAGAGAGATCCATACACCGTTCCACAGTTATTGTCTGGAAACTAGAAAATGCTTATTTTTGGCCCCTTTTTGGCCCCTAATTCCTTAACTGTTGGTACCATAACCCCCAAAATCAATCCCAACCTTCCTTTTGTGGTATTTAACCTTATGGTCAAATTTCAAAAAGATCCATTCACTTAAACTAAAGTTAGAGTGCGAAAACCAATGTGTCTTCGGACGACGACGACGCCAACGTCATACCAATATACGACCACAAAATTTTTTTGCGGTCGTATAAAAATCTTGACAAAACTTTTATAATCATATCACTTTAAGTATAATTATCTGCCCTTGGGTTTTTAAAGGATTTTTTTCTGAAAATTTTAAATACACTTAACTACACTTAATTTTGATAGATTAATCTTTAAATTTCATATTTTTATGTTTTTATTATATATTGAATGATAATTTGTAAAATATTTTATATTCATATAAACCAAAAGAGTATTTTTAAAACATGCGCAGAAGAGATGCTCAGTAAAAGACACCTGATCTACCTTTAATAATTTCTGAATTTATAACAAGTAAAACAGAAGTTATCACACTTTATTATACTGTAAATTCAGAAATTATTGCATGCATTTATTATTGTGATTTTTCAAAAATGGACAAGAATGCCATTTTAATTATTGCGATTTCAGAAAAATCTACATACAGATCTATGTTTTAGTTATCAAAATGTGAGTTCTTATTATTGCGATACTCACCTAGCTGCAATATTTACATTAATAAAAACCTAGCAATAATATCTGAATTTACAGTAGTCATATTCATACAAATGTGTACTTTTCAGGGTAGTTCCTGTATGATTATTGTTTATGGTTAATTCTATCAAAGAGAAATGTAATACCACATACCAAACTTTGTGGAGCTACAGAGGGCCATATCACTCGAGGATTAGGATCATACATAGGATTAAGATATTTCTGTAAAACTTCTGGTCTTGCTAAATATGTCCTGTAAAAAAAGTTAAAGATTAAAAAATGTTACCACAGCTGTTCTAAAATCCAAGCATTGAAACTAAAGAGTTCTAAAGGAATTAGATTGATCAACAATTCAGCGCTTGAACACTATTACAATAAACAATTAACACATGTATTTCATGTGTAACCTAATCACAAATTTCAAGCAGTTGTTGACAAGGCTGTTGCCAACAGTGATGCCAAAAATGGTATGCCAAAGTTGCACTTCCAAGAAGAAGGGGTGACAAAAATGGTACCGGTATATAATGTACAATTTCAAATGAAAAATCTTAAAAGGATATTTTCTCAATTTATATTTAAAATCCAGACTGCAAAAACTTTAAACTATAATGCCCATATAATCGTCACCCAGTATGGGTCAGGACCTGTTTTACTCTAAAAGGTCAAAGTGTTTTCTTGGTGAATAATGACTAGAAACAAGATGGTTGTAGCCTTTTATGTTTTTTTTTCTAAATAGAGAAGACTTTAATTTATACTTTTCTTCAATTACCATAAAGAGACTGTTCTGGAGGACAATTTACACTCTTTTCTTTCCTTCTCATTATTGCACAGGAATGTACCTAAAAGTAGAACAAAGTATCCAATAACAACAAGCACAAAAATACTGTTCCTTTAAATCACAAAATCAGGGTCAACCAAAATGGTTGACACATGTAATATTTGGCTGACACCTGGTTGATAGGTCATATATGGCTGACACTTGGTTGATAAATGGTATATTTTGATGACACCTGGTTGACACATATAATAAATGACTGACACCTGGTTGACAAATGGTATATTTTGTTGAATACTGGTAGACATATGGATGACACATACTATATATTGATAACATATATAATATAATATATATATGATCGACAAAGGGTATTAATGGTTGACACATAGTATATAATGCCGACACATGGTATATATGCTTGACATGTGGTACACACAGTTGACTAATGGTATGTATGTTTGACACATGGTACATATGGTATATATGGTTGTCATATAGTCTATATGGTTAACACATGGTATATATGCTTGACCATTAATGAGAATATGTCTTATGAAAATATAACCCACATCTTTTTTTGTTATTCATAAATATAATCTACTGTAAATGAAGGTTTTCAATGGTACTTCTGTTGTGCTAATATAAATACCTTGCTAATGGCAGAAATTAAGTGTCCCTTTTAAATATTTACTTTTCCAGATCAGTTGGAGTTTTTTTTAATCAAATTAGTGGATTTCTTTTTCTAAATTTTTCATTGATACACATTCTTGCTTTCTTTTAATTTGGTATTCATGTCCTCTCAATAAATGTTACCATAACTGATGCCCTCTCACTAAAGATTAACATGCCTGGTGACCTCTCACTAAAGATTAACATGCCTGGTGACCTCTCACTAAAAGTTACCATGCCGGGTGACCACTCACTAGAGATTACCATGCCTGGTGACCTCTCACTAAGGATTACCATACATTTATAAACTCTCACTAAAGGTTACCATGCCTTGTGACCTCTAACTAATAATGATCATGGTTGCTAACCTCTTTCTAATGGTTACCATGCCTGATTACCATTCACTGAAGGGTACCATGCATGGTGACCTCTCACTAAAGGTTACCATGCCTGGTGACCTCTCACTAATGATTACCATGCCTGGTGACCTCTCACTTAAGACTACCATACCTTTATAACCTCTCACTAAAGGTAACCATGCTTTCTGACCTCTAACTAAACATATCCACGACTGATAACCACTCACTAAAAGGTTATAAAATCCCAAAGACAAATCCCTATATTGATTTGTGAATCTAAACAAGATTTAGCTGTAGGCAGTTTCTGTTTTCTACTTATTGTAATACTTACCAAACTGTGAGGAATAGGTGTGTTCAAACAGCATGACAAGAAACTCTTCATTGAATTCAAATGAACAAGGAAACTGTTGCCATATCTACATTGTAAACAACACTTATCAATTATCCCCAAAGCAAATAAGTATACTATATATGTAAATGTACATGCAAGTATAACAGGTCTGTCTCTTGAGTATTTAAGAAGCCCATGAAGATCGTTTCATTGATAATTAGTTCATGTGTCAGAGAATGAATCAAAAGATACATTAGAGTAGACTTGTCCAAATTATAAAACTTTGATTGATTCTTTTAAAATTTATTCACAACTTACACAGACTTTGAACAATTTACAGCTTTCTTAAGAATTATTTGATAGATTTATAAAATTATAATACATTTTATAAACAAAAATAATTTCATCATCAAAATACCATTACAAACTCTCTGTTGTCTGAACAAGTACTCAAAAATATCTATAGCCTTTGCTCTGTCCAATCAAATTAATTTAGTCTTTGCTTTGTGCTATGGAATATTGATTGATTAAGAAACTATATAAATATACCAACCTGCCAGACACAATCTAAAAAGAGAAGAAAAACAGGAGATTCACTTCTCTGTTTAGTGATGGCAAATGCAGATTTGGAACAGCGGTCAGCAAATGGATGTCCACTTTGTAACCATTCACGTTCTACTAAGGCTTCAAATCTAAAAAGTATAAATACATAATTAGGACCAACTTAGGTCAATGATCAGTAAATGGGTGTCCACCTTGTAACCATTCACTTTGTACTAAGGCTTCAAATCTTAAAATAATAAAAATTTTGCAATTTTTTCCATTTATAAAGGGGCATAACTCTAGAACAGTTAAAGTGACGCCACCAAAATTCAAACTTGATCTGTATTTTGTGGTAATAAGCATTGTGTATAAGTTTCATAACATTTGGTTGAGGCAAACTAAAGTTAGAGAACAGAAACTAAATATTTTGCAATTTTTCCATTTATAAAGGGGCATAACTCTAGAACCGTTAAAGTGACGCCACCAAACTTCAAACTTGATCTGTGTTTTGTGATAATAAGCATTGTGTATAAGTTTCATACCATTTGGATGAGGCAAACTTAAGTTAGAGGATGGGAACTAAAAATTTTGCAATTTTTCCATTATAAAGGGGCATAACTCTAGAACGGTTAAAGTGACGCACCAAAATTCAAACTTGATCTGTGTTTTGTGGTAATAAGCATTGTGTATAAGTTTCATAACATTTGGTTGAGGCAAACTCAAGTTAGAGAACAGAAACCAATTTTGGGATGTACGTACATACGGACAAGGGTAAAACTTAATGCCAACAAAAAATATTAGGACCACCTAGGGTCAGCGGTTATAAAATGGATGTCCACTTTGTAACCATACACGTTCTTCTTAGGTTTCAAATCTTAAAATAATTAACAAATAAGATAAGGACCAACTTGGGTCAAAGGTCAGCAAACAAATATTCTAATTATAACCATTCATGTCCTGCAATAAGGGCTTTAACTTTGAAATAAATGAACATGTAAAATGGCAGGTCTTTACAATAAAATTAAATTTTAGTTTGTTTGAATTCACATTGCAGCATCTCGTTTCATTCAGAAAAATATAACTGATTGTTTTATTTGCATTAATTCAAAGTACGGTGTCACCTAAACATTAAATATTTTAACAAATATGCAGTTCTACTAAGTTTTGGTTTGCATGAAGTCACATTTCATTCAAAAAGTTTAACTGCATCTAACTGCTTGAGAAAAAAAACTGAATAATCCTAAATTGTTTACCCATTAATGGTCCTACAGTCATGGTCCAATATAAGTTGTACAAGGGAGGTGACCTGCAATGTTGTATCAAATCCCTCAGATCCATGGACCAATACTGAAGCCCCTGTAAAAATACAATAAAAAAACTCATTTATAGAGTAATGGACTAGCACAGGGGAGGTAATCCTGTGTTGTATCAAATCTCTCAGTTCAATGGACCAATACTGAAGCCACTGTAAAAATTCAACAATAAAAAACTCAATTATTGAGTGATGGACTAGCACAGAGGAGGTAATCCTGTGTTCTATCAAAACTCTCAGTTCAATGGACCAATACTGAAGCCACTGTAAAATACAAAAATAAAAACTAAATTATTGAGTGATGGACTAGCACAGAGGAGGTAATCCTGTGTTGTATCAAATCCCTCAGATCTATGGACCAATACTGAAGCCCTGTAAAAATACAACAATAAAAAACTTTTTAATTATAGAGTGACAGACTAGCATAGGGGAGGTAATCCTGTGTTGTATCAAATCCCTCAGATCCATGGACCAATACTGAAGCCCTGTAAAAATATAACAACAAAAACTCAATTATAGTGTGATGGACTAGCACAGGGGAGGTAATCCTATGTTTTTCTCAAATCCCGCAGATCTACGGACCAATACTGAAGGTCCTGTAAAAATACAACATTAAAAATATCAAGACATAATAGACATAATAGGGAGGGGGGGGGGGGGGTATCCAGTAGTGTATCAAATCCCTCAGTTCGATGGACCAACACAAAAACTCCAGTAAAATTACAGTTTCATATAATTTTAACATTTTTTCAGTGGGGTTGTTGTTTAAACCTTTCAAATAGCATCCAATGTTTATATTTGAGCTAGTACTTTAAATTATCTTCAGAATCAATACAGTATGCTATGGTACAAGCATACAATACAATAATACCATCAGAATCTATCAACTGTGCTACGGTACAAGTACACATTACAATCCTACCTTCAGAATCTATACACTGTGCTACGGTACAAGTACACATTACAATCATACCATTAGAATCTATTAACTGTGCTACAGTACAAGTATACATTACAATCCTACCATCAGAATCTATACACTGTGCTACAGTACAAGTACACATTACAATCATACCTTCAGAATCTATACACTGTGCTACGGTACAAGTATACATTACAATCCTACCTTCAGAATCTATACAATGTGCTACGGTACAAGTATACATTACAATCCTACCTTCAGAATCTATACACTGTGCTATGGTACAAGCACATGTTAGAATATCTTTGACATGAGATAACCAGTTACTGGATTCTAACTTTGATAACCATTTGTCCATACTACTGGTGTTGTCAAGGGATGCTGAAATGGAGACATTACAAACTAAAAATCGAACATGTCAGGAAGGGCACCAGCTGCACACTTTTGCAGGCACTATTGTAAGTGGTGTGCAAAAAAAAAATTGACATGTGAAATCATTTTTAAAAGCAAATTATACCTTTGCATATTGATTTTCATTGAAATCCTAGCAAAAACACATGTTTCTTAAAATTTATAATTTAATAAATGCTCAGTTTCCCCCCAATTTTGATTCCAGGGATTTATATTATACCTACACATAGTATTTTGCTGAAATCTTAGGGGAAAAAAATCTCAAAATTTGCAATTTTTTTCACAAAAAAAACCAAACTTATATTTTACAATGAGAATCAATTTCAAATAGCATATTATACATATTATACATTAATATGATTTTTGTTGAAATCCTAAGAAACTGATGGTTGAAGTAATTTGTGAATTTTTAACTTAAAACTGTGTTTTTTCACCAATATTTTCCGCTAATGTTGTCAATAATCTTTTTTTCTACCCAGGGAAACAATTTTGAATAGCAAAATATACCTATACATCAATTATCTGTGCACTAAAAAGATGTTTCTCAAAATTATAAATTTTTAACAGAAAGTAAATTATTGTCTCAGTTTAGAACATGTTTGACATATGGATTCAATTTAAGTATCTTATGTTTCTAAATATCAATTTTCATTGAAATTCTAGCACACAAAGATGTTTCTCAAAATTTGTGAATTTCTATAATTTAAGAAAAAATTTTTATGCAATTTTACATACAAATGATCACAAAAATATTTTTTGTCATCGCAAATCAATTTTGAATAGAATTTTATATCTTTTCTGTGGTAATAACTATGAGCAGGGAACCTGAAATTCTGTATAATATGGTATCTACAAAAAAATAAACATACATTCCATCAATTTGATGAGTGAGTCATGGAAAGCTTGTCTCCTATCCACAGACTGATGTATCCGCCTCCACTGTGGATAATATACCTCAGGTTCATAACCTCCACCTACAACAGAACTCCATTTAGTATGAAATTCATTATATTTAACATAATTGAGAATATGACAGTTTCTAATTTATATGTGCTACTAAAATAATTGTTTTCATTATAATCTCTCAGAATTGACATAGAATAAAGATCAAAGAAAATGAAAACAAGAATGTGTCCATAGTACACGGATGCCCCACTTGAACTATCATTTTCTATGTTCAGTGGACCGTGAAATTGGGGTAAAAACTCTAATTTGGCATTAAAATTAGAAAGATCATATCATAGGGAACATGTGTACTAAGTTTCAAGTTGATTGGACTTCAACTTCATCAAAAACTACCTTAACCAAAATTTTTAACCTGAAGCGGGACAGACGGACGAATGGACAGAAGAACGGACGCACAGACCCAAAAACATAATGTCCCTCTACTATTGTAGGTGGGGAATAAAAATCCATGATATCAATACTGACAAAAATTGCAAAATATAGAATCGAATAATAAACATTTCTGAAGTAGCAACTAACAATGCATTTAAAGTAAGCAATGGAACGTGGTTCAATTTGGGTTATCTCTCTTGTACCAGGAAAATATCTCAATGGAGTTTGATGACTCTGAGTGTGAGCATCTTCATAGGACATTTTCTCAGATATAACTTAGAAACTCTGCTTCAAACTGTGCTGATTTTGCAGCAGATTGTGACCTTGTGTCTATGATATAACCTTTGTTGCCACGTTCCATTATAGACTTCTTCATACCTTTATTCTGAGCTGATTTTGCAGCAGATTGTGACCTTGTGTCTATGACATAAACTTTGTTGCCACGCCCCATTACAGACTTTACAATACCTTTAGTCTGAGCTGATTTTGCAGCAGATTGTGACCTTGTATCTACGATATAACCTTTGTTGCCACGCCCCATTACAGACTTTACCATACCTTTATTCCAAGCTGATTTTGCAGCAGAAGGTGACCTTGTGTCTATGATATAACCTTTGTTGCCACACCCCATTACAGACTTTACAATACCTTTATTCTGAGCTGATTTTGCAGCAGATGGTGACCTTGTGTCTATGATATAACCTTTGTTGCCACGCCCCATTACAGAATTGACCATTCGTTCATCTTCTTTACATCTTTTGTTGTTCATTCCTGTCAATGGTTGACTACATCTCATCATCACAGCCTGGAAGAACCAAAAAACAAAATGTAATCAATAATGGTGAAAAATATGAAAGAACCTGAATAACCTGCACATGTTAAGAGTGTATATCATTCCAACAGGAGCAACAAAATAAAAATTATCAAATCAACTTTACTTTGAAGTGTCATATCATTCACCATATGGAAAGTTAAAGTTTATAACCACAAATCAATTCTCAGTTATTACATTAAATGTCAACCTCCATTTTCAAAGATTGTCAACCTCCATTTTTATAGAATGTCAACCTCCATTTTTATAGAATGTCAACCTCCATTTTTATAGAATGTCAACCTCCATTTTTTATAGATTGTCAACCTCCATTTTCATTGAATGTCCACCTCCATTTTTATAGAATGTCAACCTCCATTTTTATAGAATGTCAACCTCCATTTTCATTGAATGTCAACCTCCATTTTCATTGAATGTCAACCTCCATTTTTATAGAGTGAAACCGTGAGGGCATTCCGATGTATTGCTATCGCCTAGATTTCCATTACGTAACTTTTGTTTTGTAAAACATCTATAAACAAGATAAATACGCTGATATTAATGAGTACAAACTAACATTCCTTATCGTTTGTTATAAATACATCTCTTCAATGAATACTGATAAAAATATTTTTGTTTAGAACATAAATTAATAATATGAAAATGTTTTGTCGTTAGATATATATATATATAAGTAAATAAATGTGGATAGTGTCCACATGTGGACACAGATGATGCCCCCGCTTGCATATCATATAGTTATAAAGGGACATAACTGAAGAACGGCAAAAGTGACACTAGCCAAATTTTAACTTGATCTGAGTTTTGTGGTAATAAGCATTGTGTGTAAGTCTCATAACATTTGGTTGAGGCTAACTTAAGTAGAGAAAGAAACTAAAAATTCAGCAATTTTTCTATTTGTAAACATGCATTACTCTAGAACAGTTGTGTATAAGTTTTATAACATTTGGTTGAGACAAACTAAAGTTAGAGAACGTAAACGAAAAATTCAGCAATTTTTATGTTTATAAAGGGACATAACTCAAGAATGGTAACAGTGTTGCCACCAAATTTCGTACTTAATCTGTATTATGTAGTAATAAGCATTGTGTATAAGTTTCATAACATTTGGTTGAGGCAAACTAAAGTTAGACAAGAGTGCACACGCTGAAATGTCTCGCCTTCTTTACTAATCATTGATATTATGTTGATAGTCCTAAATATAAAGTTTTATTACAACTGTCACATAAACTTAACATTAACCAAGTAAACTAAACATTGGCCAATGAACCATGAAAATGAGGTCAAGGTCAGATGAACCATGCTAGGCAGGCATGTACAGCTACCAATTCTTCCATACAACAAATATAATTGACCTATTGCTTATAGTTTAAGAAAAACAGACCAAAACACAAAAACTTAACACTGAGCAATGAACCTTGAAAATGAGGTCAAGGTCAAATAAAACCTGTGTGACTGCCAAATAGATCATAAAATATTTCCATACACCAAATATAGTTGAACTATTGCATAGAGTATTAGAAAAAAGGACCAAAACTCAAAAAACTTAACTTTGACCACTGAACCATGAAAATGAGGTCAAGGTCAGATGACACCTGCCCGCTAGACATGTACACCTTACAATCATTCCATACACCAAATATAGTAGACCTATGGCATACAGTATAAGAAAAACAAACCAAAACACAAAAACTTAACTATAACCACTGAACCATGAAAATGAGGTCAAGGTCAGATGACACCTGCCAGTTGGACATGTACACCTTACAGTCCTTCCATACACCGAATATACTAGAACTATTGCTTATAGTATCTGAGATATGGACTTGACCACCAAAACTTAACCTTGTTCACTGATCCATGAAATGAGGTCGAGGTCAAGTGAAAACTGTCTGACGGGCATGAGGACCTTGCAAGGTACGCACATACCAAATATAGTTATCCTATTACTTATAATAAGAGAGAATCTAACATTACAAAAAATCTTAACTTTTTTTTCAAGTAGTCACTGAACCATGAAAATGAGGTCAAGGACATTGGACATGTGACTGACGGAAACTTCGTAACATGAGGCATCCATATACAAAGTATGAAGCATCCAGACCTTCCACCTTCTAAAATATAAAGCTTTTAAGAAGTTAGCTAACGCCGCCGCCGCCGTAGCCCCCGCCGCCGGATCACTATCCCTATGTCGAGCTTTCTGCGACAAAAGTCGCAGGCTCGACAAAAACGGAAACAAAAAATTTGTACTTGATCTTAGTTTTGTGGTAATGAATATTGTGTATAGGTTTCATAATGTTTGGTTGGGACAAACTTAAGTAACAGAATGGAAACTAAAAATTTTGCAATCTTTCGATTTATAAAGGGGCATAACTCAATAATGGTTAAAGTGACACTTCCCAAATTCAACTTGATCTGTGTTTTATCAGTGGAAGTCAAAATTAAACATTGCATTGTATAAAGCATTAATTGTAGTTGATTCAACTATAATCATGGACAAAGGAAGATAACTCCAAATTTAAAAATTACTTGATATTTAGAAGAAAATAAAAATTTTGCAATTTTTCCATTTATAAAGGGGCATAACTCTAGTACGGTTAAAGTGACACCACCAAAATTCAACCTTGATCTGTGTTTTGTGGTAATAAGCATTGTGTATAAGTTTCATAACATTTGGTTGAGGCAAACTTAAGTTAGAGAATGGAAACTACAAATTTTGCAATTTTTCCATTTATAAAGGGCCATAACTCTAGAATTGTTAAAGTGACGCCACCAAAATTCAAACTGGATCTGTGTTTTGTGGTAATAAGCATTGTGTATAAGTTTCATAACATTTGGTTGAGGCAAACTTAAGTTAGAGAACGGAAACTAAACATTTTGCAATTTTTCCATTTATAAAGGGGCATAACTCTAGAATTGTTAAAGTGACGCCAACAAAATTCAAAGTTGATCTGTGTTTTGTGGTAATAAGCATTGTGTATAAGTTTCATAACAATTGGTTGAGGCAAACTCAAGTTAGAGAACGGAAACCAATTTTGGGACGTACTGATGGACGTACAGACGGACAAGGGTAAAACTTAATGCCACCACCGCTACGGTAGGGGCATTAAAAATCATTGATAATATCTATGCACATGTAACGAAAAATTGTGTTAAAGCATGTGGAAGAATATCCCAAGAACGGTTTGCGGCAATCCCGGCAAGGACTGGTAACTCTCTAATTGTTTTTGCAGGAAAATATGAATGCCTACTCATATCCAATCTTTTAGAAAAATCAAATTTTTACAGAAGAGTGTCCACCATGCACTTGCACTGCACTATTATTAGAATAGTATAATAGAATGATATACAAATGGATGAAAATTATATATACATGTATATGTAACTGTTATATTTAAGAAATAATTCATGGGGGCTTGAATATATTGTGATTTAACCACGGGTTGGCACTTTATGCTAAATATTTTACCCTGATCAATAGCGAGGGGGTAAAATATTGGCATAAAGGGACAACCCATGGTAAAATCACGTTATATTCAAGCCCCTATGAATAATTTTGATTCTAATAGGATAAATATGGCAATTCAGATTATTCTTTTGGATCGAAGCGTTCTAGGTGAAGGCAAATATTTGCCGTTCCCATAAACAAACGCACTATTCAATTTTTATAGAATGTCAACCTCCATTTTTATAGAATGTTAACCTCCATTTTTATAGAATGTCAATCTCCATTTTTATAGAATGTCAACCTCCATTTTTATAGAATGTTAACCTCCTTATAGAATGTTAACCTCCATTTTTATAGAATGTTAACCTCCATTTTTATAGAATGTTAACCTCCATTTTTATAGAATGTTAACCTCCATTTTTATAGAATGTCAACCTCCATTTTTATAGAATGTCAACCTCCATTTTTATAGAATGTCAACCTCCATTTTCATAGAATATCAACCTCCATTTTTACATCGCGATGACCGTGAGGGCATTCTGATGTATTGCTATCGCCTAGATTTCTATTACGTAACTTTCGTTTTGTATAACATCTATAAACAAGATAAGTACGCGGATATTAACTAGTGCAAACTAACATTCCTTATTGTTTGTTATAAATACATCTCTTCAATGAATACTGATAAAAAAAATTTTGTTTAGAATATATAATTAATAATATGAAAATGTTTTGTCTTAGATACATATATATATATATAAGTAAAAGATCATTGATAATATCTATGCACATGTACCGAAAAATTGTGTTAAAGCATGCGGAAGAATATCCCAAGAATGTTTTGCGACAATCCCGGCAAGGACCGGTAAATCTGAAATTTTTTTTGCGGGAAAATATGAATGCCTACTCATATCCAATCTTTTAGAAAAATCGAATTATTTCGATTCTAATAGAATAAATACGGCAATTCTTTTGGATCGGAGCGCTCTTGGTGAAGGCAAATATTTGCCGTTCCCATAAACAAACGCACTATTCAATTGACGTAAAAGAACATAAAAAAATTGGATTATATCACATTTAAGCATTGTTTGTTTATGTTTCCTTGTTGTGATGATTTTCGGTTTCACAAGCGTGTATTTTTCCATAAAATGCTTATATTCTCACGTCATCGTTCTATGACGTCGGGAAGCTCATTCATAAAAAAGCATATGACGTGGGAGTGCGATCGGAACAGCTCAGACAATATATTCATATTTTACCACGGGTGTGTACTCAAAGCGTTTGAAGGACGTCATGTTAGAATAATATAATATATAACAACAAACCAGTGTATACTGATTTGTATCACTACAATATAATAGTTTAACTAATTACGGTGAGGTTGAATTTCCTGTCATTTATGTATCACTACAATATAATAGTTTAACTAATTACGGTGAGGTTGAATTTCCTGTCATTTATTCATCATCCACGCACGAACTTGTCTCAGAAAAAAATATATCTCTGTACATTAACCTCAGTTTCAGGTATAGAGATGTGATTTTTTTCTGTGACAAGTGCTTTTGACCATCCACAAGAACTTGCGGTCATCCGATGTTCAGTACTTCTACTTTGATTATAGAATGTCAACCTCCATTTTTATAGAATGTCAACCTCCATTTTTATAGAATGTCAACCTCCATTTTCATAGAATGTCAACCTCCATTTTCAGAGATTTTTCAACAGAATCATATCTGAACAAATAAAGTGAAAATTACATGAATTAAAAGTGTGCTACCCTACTGTCTGTATGAATTGAAAAGATTTAACACTGGTACCTTTGTCTGTCTGTGATAATAACTGAGAACAGGGAACCTGCCATTCTGTCTGAACTGGGATGCCTTTATAACTGTTTCATCATCTATGGATTTAGGTACAATCACAGCATGTGGATAGGATGCACAAACCTATAATATCAATCAAATATAGAAAAATTAAAAAAAAAAGTACACATTTCCAAACTAATTTCTTGAAAAAATAAACTGTTGACACACACACATGGCTTGTGTTTTGTAATTTTGATGATATAATGCAAATGTTGAAATTCAAATGGCAATTCAAATTCAATGATCGATGACTTAAGGTGCAGGGCCAAATAACCACCATGGAAATGTGAAATGCCAATGGTTATAAAACTGCATACCAAATACCATTGACTTACCATAAGTGGTTCCCTTTAAACAACCCTAAACACAAACTTTAACTTGTAAACTATGTAAAAGTTTCAAAGTCAATGAACCATGATGAGGGGTGAGGCCATATAAATCAAAGCCAAACTATCTCCATGGAGATGTAAGGGTGCCAATGCTACATTAATATATCTGCATACCAAATATCGTTAACCTGCCACTAATAGTTCCCCTTAAACTGACCAAATCACAAAATAATACATGTAAAGTGTACTTTAGCAAAAGTTTCAAAGTAGATAGACCATGACTGAGGGGTGGGCAAAATAATCTCCATGGAAATGAGATGACCCAATGCTAATACAACTGCATACCAAATATCATTGACCTACCACTAGTGGTTCCCCATAAACTTGACTTTATCACAATTATGAAACTAATACATTGTTGACACAGCCACAAGAAACAGCATGCCTATGTCTTGCTTTTTTTACTTCGTTGACACATGACAAAAACTGTCCTTTGGCTGACTTGTTTTTCATCAAATAAGAGATAAGTGCTTTTTTCCATCAGGGCTTTAAAAAAAAATGCCTATCAAATTCAGGTTCTTGTTAGCCTGATTGTTTCAGCGAATGACAAAAATTCAAAATTAACACTGGACAAGAAAATGACTGCCAAATGATAGCAATAGAGATCACTTATCCTTTTGACAAGGTGTCCCTTGAGCTTAAAAGAAGCATCTGAAATATGTCATGATTTGTTCACTTATTCATACACGAGTAATATACCTTATAATCTTTGTTAACATAACTAAGCCTCCATTCCTCAGAGCACTCTTTAAACCGTGTGTATTCATTCTCTGGTAGAAAAGCCTGCCAGCCGTCCTCTAACGGCTCAAATCCAGCTCGATAGAAAAATTGATACTTCAGGCTAATATCATCTATAAATAAATTCTGACCTACTTAGATACTGTTGATACTGGAATTATTATTGTATAATACAACAAATAGCGCTATTTTCGGTGTCATTTCATAGACCACTTCGGCTGTTGTCTGCTCTTTGGTCGGGTTGTTGTCTCTTTGACATATTCCCCATTTCCATTCTCAATTTTATCACTTACTGTTATTTGTAATAACAACATAAGTTACATATGAGCTGCGTCAGATAGAAATTGACACTGGTACCTTTGTCTGTCTGTGATAATAACTGAGAACAGGGAACCTGCCATTCTGTCTGTCTGACCTTATGCAAGTGAACCTATACATTTACATGTAGGAATCTGATGTTCAGTAGTTGTCGTTTGCTGATGTGGTTCATAAGTGTTTCTCGTTTTTTATATAGATTACCCTACATCAACTGTCAAGATGAAGAACAGTAATAAAAGCCCTGTTCTTTAATAGTTTTCTATGTATTGTGTGCGATTTTGTCCCATGTACATTTACTCCATATCCTTTCATTTTCTATAGACCGTTGGTTTTCCCGTTTGAATGGTTTTACACTATTAATTTTTGGGGCCCTTAATAGCTTGCTGTGCGTGTGAGCAAGGCTCCGTGTTGAAGACCGTACTTTGACCTATAATGGTTTACTTTTATAAATTGTGACTTGGATGGAGAGTTGTCTCATTGGCACTCACACCACATCTTCTTATATCTATATAAGACTTTGACTGATTTTGGAACATTCAAATACTAAATAAAAGTGTTTTATTCTTATAACAACTCAATTTTCAAACAGTGACAGACTTTCTGTAGAGATTTCTTGAACCTGCAGCTGAAAAAGGTTAACAGATGTATTGATATTCATTTGCATAAGGATGATAAGGTCGATTTCAATCCAACGCTGCTCATATATCAATTATTATTTCGACATTTAATATGCAATTATTTAGATGTTTGGTTGATGTTTGAGTCAGCAGCTTTTAACACACTTTCAGATGGGTCATAGTCACAGAAAGACACATCAGTGTTTTGATGAAAACATATTAATAAGCAAATTGTATTTTGAAATGTTCTGCTTTAAAATGCAATGCTGTTTGACTTTTGTCATTTTACAACATGTACAAAATAAAACCAAACCAAGGATCTGAAATATTTATCAAACATAAATTAGTGAGCCCTTGCCAGTCCCAGACCAGGTGGTCATATGAAATTAAAAGTTTTTTTTTCTGTCTTTCAATTTACTTGGTTATTTTTTCTTTGTTGGGAGGCTCTCACTGAGATTGGGAGAGTTGGCACCGTTGTTCTAATTTAGTTTTTATTAACTAAAATGTAGATTATGGATTAATGTACATGAAAGGATGACACTGTAAATAGAAATTTATTAGCAAAAAGGAATATAAAAAAATATTGAAAGTGGTAAAAAAAATCTTTTTTGGAGAAAGAGGTGTCAAAAATAAAATTGACCAATGGGAAACCCTATAAATGTGTTTAGTATAATGTTTTCTTTTCATATAATATCATTTTTTAGTCTACTGGGAATGATGGTGTCGTTTAAAATTATGGTTGTGTGTATATGCACTCATTCCAAAAATGTATTAATCTGGAAAATAAAAAGAAGAAAATAATAATAAAAATCTGTTTAGCAAAACAAACAATTTCTCTCCTCTTTTCATGTGTACCACTTACCAACATGAGACAGTTTCTCTATAGATGATGCTACATCTAAACAGTCATCGCCACCATTGAATTCTAACTCTATCATCTGCAAGTCTTTACATCTCAAAATCAGTATATATTTCCCATTTGACTGGGTCATTTTTTTCTCTGTACTGTCAATAGCACTATGTAGAAGCTGAAATAACATAAACTGTTGACACAGAGATATGTCTCACCTTTTTGTTATTTTGATACTGTGGATTCATTATTATTTGTTGGATACAATTTTCGTGGATACAGGTGAACCATGAATTTAAATGTTCAACTAATGAAGAATTTTATATAGGCTTGTATGCAGACTTTGGCAAAACCATGAAATCAAATATCTGCGAAAATGCAAGTTTTCCTCAATCCACAAAAATTGTTATCCACGAAAATAGATGAATCCACAGTAGTATAACAGTATAATGCAAGCATTGAATATTGAACTCGGCATAATTCCCAATTAGACAACTATCCATCAGAGCATGAGTTCCATGGTCGTGGTTAATGTGGTCTGGGTGTTGTGAGTGAGGTATATTGTTGAGATGCCTATTATCCAATTTTATATTTATTAATTAATGTGTACAACTTACCTTCAATTCCTCATGATTTTCTGATCTAGAGGACAGTATTACTTGATGCCCTGTGATACACAGTGTACCAGTGTCCAGTGACAAGTTTAATGGATGACCATAACTTACCCACAATTCCTCATGATTTTCTGATCTAGAGGACAGTATTACATGATGCCCTGTGATACAAAATGTACGAGTTACAAGTTAAATGGATGACTCTAACTTACCTACAATTCCTCATGATTTTCTGATCTAGAGGACAGTATTACTTGATGCCCTGTGATACACAGTGTACCAGTGACAAGTTTAATGGATGACCATAACTTACCCACAATTCCTCATGATTTTCTGATCTTGAGGACAGTATTACATGATGTCCTGTGATACAAAGTGTACCAGTAACTGATTTAGTAAAAGGACGCTTCATACAGACATTCTCTACCGTAGGGGTCTTGATAAATTCTGCAAATTCCATTTCTTAATTGACACTACAAAAGAAAGAAATAAGTGAACACATACACACTCTATAGAAGATGACTGTACATTGCCAATAGCAAAAATACAAGTGTACGTTTTTTATTGTGTTTCACAAAATCTAGAAAGACAAAGGGGGAGATTTGTATACACATAAAACATTTTGTGGATAAACCATGTCATACTTTTAGACCATGTATTGTTTGTTGTTGTATTTGCCTATTACATTTGTTTTTAAAGAGGAATCTGGCTTTGATGGTTGGTTCTGGATAACTATGCCTAAAATAAACTCAGCCTACAGCAAACTCAGACTAACTAATTCTGCCTAAAACAAACTCTGCCTATAGCAAACTCAGACTAACTAACTCTGCCTAAAACAAACTCGACCTAAATCAAACTCAGACTAACTAACTCTGCCTAAAACAAACTCGGCCTACAGCAAACTCAGACTAACTAACTCTGCCTAAAAACAAACTGGCCTATAGCAAAATCAGACTAACTAACTAGGCCTATAGCAAACTCAGACTAACGTTAACTAACTCTGTTGTATTTGCCTATTACATTTGTTTTTAAAGAGGAATCTGGCTTTGATGGTTGGTTCTGGATAACTATGCCTAAAATAAACTCGGCCTACCTTTCAGACCATGTATTGTTCCATTTCTTAATTGACACTACAAAAGAAAGAAATAAGTGAACACATACACACTCTATAGAAGATGACTGTACATTGCCAATAGCAAAAATACATGTGTACGTTTTTTATTGTGTTTCACAAAATCTAGAAAGACAAAGGGGGAGATTTGTATACACATAAAACATTTTGTGGATAAACCATGTCATACTTTTAGACCATGTATTGTTTGTTGTTGTATTTGCCTATTACATTTGTTTTTAAAGAGGAATCTGGCTTTGATGGTTGGTTCTGGATAACTATGCCTAAAATAAACTCGGCCTACAGCAAACTCAGACTAACTAATTCTGCCTAAAACAAACTCTGCCTATAGCAAACTCAGACTAACTAACTCTGCCTAAAACAAACTCGACCTAAATCAAACTCAGACTAACTAACTCTGCCTAAAACAAACTCAGCCTACAGCAAACTCAGACTAACTAACTCTGCCTAAAAACAAACTGGCCTATAGCAAAATCAGACTAACTAACTAGGCCTATAGCAAACTCAGACTAACGTTAACTAACTCTGCCTAAAACAAACTCGGCCTATAGCAAACTCAGACTAACTAACTCTGCCTAAAACAAACTAGGCCTATAGCAAATTCAGACTAACTAACTCTGCCTAAAACTAACTCGGCCTATAGCAAACTCACACTAACTAACTCTGCCTATAACAAACTCGACCTATAGCAAACTCAGACTAACTAACTCTGCCTAAAACAAACTCGGCCTATAGCAAACTCAGACTAACTAACTCTGCCTAAAACAAACTAGGCCTATAGCAAACTCAGACTAACTAACTCTGTCTAAAACAAACTCGACCTATAGCAAACTCAGAATAACTAACTCTGCCTAAAACAAACTCGGCCTACAGCAAACTCAGACTAACTACATGTAACTCTGTCTAAACCAAACTCGGCCTATAGCAAACTCAGACTAACTAACTCTGTCTAAAACAAACTTGACCTATAGCAAACTCAGAATAACTAACTCTGCCTAAAACAAACTCAGCCTATAACAAACTCAGACTAACTAACTCTGCCTAAAACAAACTCGACCTATAGCAAACTCAGAATAACTAACTCTGCCTAAAACAAACTCGGCCTATAACAAACTCAGACTAACTAACTCTGCCTAAAACAAACTCGACCTATAGCAAACTCAGACTAACTAACTTTGCCTAAAACAAACTCGACCTATATAGCAAACTCAGACTAACTAACTCTGCCTAAAACAAACTACTGTAAATTCAGAAATTATTGCATGCATTTATTATTGCGATTTTGTCATTTTAGACTAAAATGCGATTTTAATTTTTGCGATATTGAGAAAAATCATGTTTAATTCATATAAAAAATTTCAAAATGCGAGTTTAAATTATTGCGATTATAACCCTGTCGCATTTTTCGCAATAATAAAAACATCGCAATAATTTCTGAATTTACAGTAGGCCTATAACAAACTCAGACTAACTAACTCTGCCTAAAACAAACTCGGCTTATAGCAAACTCAAGACTAACTAACTCTGCCTAAAACACACTCAGCCTATAGCAAACTCAGACTAACTAACTCTGCCTAAAACAAACTCGACCTATAGCAAACTCAGACTAACTAACTCTGCCTAAAACAAACTCGGCCTACAGCAAACTCAGACTAACTAACTCTGCCTAAAACAAACTCGACCTATAGCAAACTCAGACTAACTAACTCTGCCTAAAACAAACTAGGCCTATAGCAAACTCAGACTAACTCTGCCTAAAACACACTCAGCCTACAGCAAACTCAGACTAACTAACTCTGTCTACCATTATTTATTCAACACATGTTGGAAGAAATAAAGTGAACAAACTCAGCCTATCATTGTAGATTCTTCACTAGAAATAAAGTGAACAAACTCAGCCTATCATTGTAGCTTCTTCACTAGAAATAAAGTGAACAAACTCAGCCTATCATTGTAGATTCTTCACTAGAAATAAAGTGAACAAACTCAGCCTATCATTTGTAGATTCGTCACTAGAAATAAAGTGAACAAACTCAGCCTATCATTTGTAGATTCATCACTAGAGTATGCTTGCTCTGTTTGGGAACCTTACTTACCACAAGGAGGGCTGCCCGTTTTGTAACTAACAAATAGACAGACACCCCCAGAGTTGATTACATTGGTAAAATGTTACATCACCTTGAATGACACAGCCTCTGACAGAAGAAAAGATTCAAGATTGGTAATGCTGTTTAAAATAGAACAGGGAAAAAGTTGCAATATCTAAGAATAACAAACTATTTCCACAAAAAAGACAATTTCTTTTTTATATATACAAGACATTCAAATTTGAACAATTTAGAAGTTGAGCATGCAGATTCTATAGAGGCATTCAAGACAGCACTACAGAAACACCGCCAATAACAACAGTGCTTTCTCCACTGTGTATAAAAGCCTAAATAGGATATACATGTACATGTACCCATACAGATACACTACATGTATTACAAGTAAACATTTTTCTCATAAGATTTTTTGTGAAATAAGTTGCTGGACCTTCAAGCGGTATCGTGTCCATTAGCTCCCAAAACATGTTCACATGATACTACATGTTAGCATCCCACACATTTGCACCCTATTTTTTATTCAGATATAGGTTGAATTATTACATGTATTAAATGTATTTTCAGATGCATATATATATCAAAATATTTTCATGAATAAAAATTAGTTTATTTAAACATTGTTAAATGATTTATTTTTTTCTCTATATTTTTTTGGGCCATTTTTTTTGTAATAATGGTCCACTATTCCCTGTTCTGTAAACCCTATCCAGACCCTCATGGTCATGCACCTAATAAAAATGTGCTTTGAAGCCCTTTTTTGTTTATTCGTTATTGTCGTAGCAATGTCACTGTAACTAGTTTGTTAGCCGTTTCGTATCCTCCGCCTTTCTTTTACAAGTCTTAGTCAAATGCTTTTCATTATATTTCTTTTACAAGTCTTAGAGACAAATGGCTTGGCCTTTGATTATCATGACAATATTCATTATTCATATCGTCAAAATAATTCACAAAATAAAACCTGTTTTATATTAATGTCACTTTATTTTTTAGTCCGAGATTACTTTGACGTCCAACGGCTGTTTTGCCAGACAAGCTGGGGCTGTGGGAGACGTCCCAAGCTCTTCTTGCACCGTGGGAGACGTCCCCAGCTTGTCTGGCAAAACAGCCTTTGGACGTCAGAGTAATGTCCGATTATTTATTTTTTAACAATAAAAACAGTTTTTATCTTTATTTTATAGCAATACACTAACTAAAGCATGAAAAAAAATTATTCAAAACATAACCTTTAAAAAGGATGCAAAGGTGAAAAGGGGCTAACGTGAACGGGAGCAAACCTGATTTTGTGCGCACCGACCTGTATTCCCTTCAAACATTATCATTGAATAATTTTTTTTAACAGCAAATTTATGGTTTTATGAAGGTGGATTGTAGATTTCAAAGACCTGATTCTACAATCCCAATACTAAATAAAACTGCCTTTCAAGACATAAAAGATTAAAAAACTGATAAAAGTTAAAATAAAATGTTTAAAAAAGATTTTTTTTTAATTTCTAATGTTTAAAAAACTTTTATTAATGAAATCATGTTATGGCCACAGTTTCCATCATACATGACATGTTTTAGGCTAGCAAATAAATAAAAGGAAGCACCAGGCAAGTGTCATCAATGCATATTTTGTTAAAAATAATATAATCATGAAAATCATTAATACCTTAATTGGTAAATATACCTAGATTTCGATCTAAAGTGATTTTTTGGTTTCGTCTTTAAAATTTATCATAATTTTTCAGACCGGAAGTTGCAGACAACACTTTATTTCCGAGGCAAATACGATACGATTACCAAAATAAATCATTAAAACAATACCGTTTTCATTTTCTGATTTTTCAAATAAAATAAATTAAGTTTTCTATCTTAGATATAGAGCAAATAAATTTTTAAAACCCTCAGAGAGCGAAAGAATTTTATTTGCTGCTGAATAGTGTCGCTGGATATTTGGAAGATGGCGGATTACGATGGTAAACAACTTGGTTGCTGACCAAAATATTGCTTTATTTTTCATACTGACAATAACTTGTCGAAGTCATGTTTAAGCTTCTCTACAACAAGCATTCATTTTACACATAAAATTAAGTTTTAGATTACCAGACAACCAACAAAATATATTACTATTTGGTTTATTTTTTAACTTTGTCTTTGAAAAATAAGTTTTAAAAACTGGGCCTTCTTTTACTTTAGGGGCACCTTTAATTTATAGTAATGGTACATTTATGGTAAGGTAAAACAGAATGCTCTACGTTATGGTTAGGTTTTATGGATATTTTCCTATCTAGGCCTTCAGGCATGAATATCTTCTACTATTATGCCTTGGAAATACTTTTGCGCAGCAATGGCAGAGAGAAGTTAAAGTCTTGAACTGATAAGAAGAAGATAATTTTGATAGGCTATAGTGGGAAAAGACTATCAAAATGCATTTGGGTTCTTCTTCAGATAAGACCAATCCGGCTGCACCCCCCACCCACCTTAAATATTTTTCTCAACTGTTGCCACCTATTTTAATACAAAATTTGGTGACTATGTTGAACGAATCTATCCCATCGAACTAGAGATAAAGGATACTACAGATACAGTTAAGTCTGCATCATATCTTGACTTACATCTAGAAATTGACAATGAGGGTCGGTTGAAAACAAAACTTTACGACAAAAGAGATGATTTCAGCTTCCCAATTGTGAACTTTCCATTTCTATGTAGCAACATTCCAGCAGCGCCTGCATACGGAGTACATGTATATATCTCCCAATTGATACGATATTCCCGGGCTTGTGTTTCCTATCATGATTTCCTTGATAGAGGATTGCTGCTCACAAGGAAGCTATTAAGCCAAGAGTTCCAAATGGTGAAGTTGAAGTCATCCCTTCGTAAATTTTACGGACGCCATCACGAGTTGGTTGACCGTTATGGAATAACCGTTTCACAGATGATATCGGATATGTTATGTCGTAACTACAATACCCTTCCCTTTTCACGAATGTGACTTAATGAATTAGACTATTTACCGGATTTGTAATAACATAAGCAACACGACGGGTGCCACATGTGGAGCAGGATCTGCTTACCCTTCCGGAGCACCTGAGATCACCCCCAGTTTTTGGTGGGGTTCGTGTTGCTTAGTCTTTAGTTTTCTATGTTGTGTCATCTGTACTATTATTTGTCTGTTTGTCTTTTTATTTTTGGCCATGGCATTGTCAGTTTGTTTTCGATCTATGAGTTTGACTGTCCCTCTGGTATCTTTCGTCCCTCTTTTACTATTTCCCAAACTTTTGAAAGACTTGCTAATTATTATTTCCCCTTTAAGCTATGCTTGCCTTTACTGAAAGCAAATAACCTACCAGTCTTGATATTTTTGTTTATTTATATACATATATATGTCTGTTTACGGTTACCCGACCGACCCTACTTTTGAGCACAATCTCCAAGTCATTTTATTCGTCGTAAAGTGTAAAATTAACTGGACTCGTGTTTCAACAGTCAGGAGACTTACGTAAATGAGTGATTTTTTAAATAGTGTGATTGTTTAAATCACTGATTCAAGTAACATTATGTCTATAAAGGTTGGAAGTAAGAGTTGTCTTTCTTTAATAATCACCTATTTAAGTGGTACAAATTAATCACTAGACTAAGTGATTTTATTTTATTGTAGCTTTAAATATAGAATACTAATGATCCAGGGACTAATTATGTTGCTAAAATTATCAGAACCAACATCTGTGTTGATAGGATGACTGGGTCATGTTAGGTGATGACCTTGTACTAAATCTAGGATAATGACATAAAAATCACTTGTTTAAGTATCATACCTCAATTTCCTTCCAAAAAATCACTTCTTTAAGTATCATTATTTTAATAACCCCCACTAATTTCAACACTCTCGAACAGTGAAATTTTGATAGCGAACAGTAGAATTAAATTACATAATCTATAAGATGAAACCTTGAATTTTACAGGAAAAATACTCCCACTGCTGGGAAAAATCTGTCAAGAAAGTAACAGTTCATTATGTAAAGCCATTTTTATAGCATTTTTTCAACTAAAATAGAATTTGCAGCTAAATGATTTCATCAAAGGCACAAACCTTGCTGCTTAAAAGAAGCAAAAAGTTATTTTTTTCCAATTGTACTAATGAAAAGATATTATCTAAACCTATGTGTTTAAAATTTTGGTAAAACTACAAAATCACAATTTGTGACAAAACTTTGAATTTGCTACTTAAATAAGTGATTTAAAAATCACTTATTTCAATAAGTCCCCTGACTGTTCAAGGGAAGTTAAAGTTGTCAATAAAATAAATCAATGGCCTGATACATCTAAATGTTCACAACCATGATTATGACTACTGTTTTAAGAAACTCGCGACTCATGTGATGAAATAAACACTTTTCCACCATTTTTTTTTCAACCAATAACCAAAGGAAATAATGCAATCATTAGAAATACGGGTAAACTTGGTCCATGGACAACTCTGACAATGGCAAGACGCACCTATTTTTTTAATGACGTAACCTTAAACAGACATATATTTTTTTTTGGTCTAGTCATGTGTTATTAACTGATTGTTTATTCATTGGTATAGATTCAATGCTAGCTATATAAGCAGGGGCCAATTCAAAGATATGGAATCCCATCTTCTGATAAGCCTGGCCAATACAGAGATATGGAATCGCACGCATGTTCTGATTAGCCTGGCCAATACAGAGATATTGAATCCCATGTTTTGATAAGCCTGGCCAATACAGAGATATGGAATCACATGTGTCACATATATGATAAGCCTAGCCAATACAGATATACATTATATATGGAATCCCATGTCCTGATGAACTGGGGCCAATACAGAGATATTGAATTCCATGTTCCAGTGGTTCCCAAGGCTTTGTGAAATCAACTGGACATTTGGTCCAGTAAACCTTTCTTTTTAACTGGACCAGACTACTATAATGCATATCACTTAACTGAACCAAACCAATTTTTACTGACCTTTGTCCAATGTCTGTTGACCTTGGGAATGATTGAGCCTAATCTGTTGAGCCTGGCCAATACAGAGATATGGAATTCCATGTTCTGATAAGCAGGGACCAATACAGAGATACTGAATCCCATGTTGGCCAATACAGAGATACTGAATCCCATGTTCTGATAAGCTGGTGCCTTTACAGAGATATTGAATCCCATGTTCTGATAAGGCGGGGCCTTTACAGAGATATTGAATCCCATGTTCTGATAATCAGGGGCCAATACAGAGATATTAAATCCCATGTTCTAATAAGCTGGGGCATTTACAGAGATATTGAATCCCATGTTCTGATAATCAGGGGCCAATACAGAGATATTATATCCCATGTTCTGATAAGATGGGGCCTTTAAAGAGATATTGAATCCCATGTTCTGATAAGCAGGGGCCAATACAGAGATATGGAATCCCATGTTCTGATAAGCCTGTGCCTTTACAAAGATATTGAATCCCATGTTCTGATAAGGCGGGGCTTTTACAGAGATATTGAATCCCATGTTCTGATAAGCAGGGGCCAATACAGAGATATGGAATCCCTTGTTCTGATAAGCAGGGGCCTTTAAAGAGATATTAAATCCCATGTTCTGATAAGCCGGGGCCTTTAAAGAGATATTGAATCCCATGTTCTAATAAGCCGGGGCCTTTACAGAGATATTGAATCCCATGTTCTGATAAGCAGGGGCCAATACAGAGATATGGAATCCCATGTTCTGATAAGCAGGGGCCAATACAGAGATATGGAATCCCATGTTCTGATAAGCAGGGGCCTTTAAAGAGATATTAAATCCCATGTTCTGATAAGCCGGGGCCTTTAAAGAGATGTTGAATCCCATGTTCTAATAAGCAGGGGCCTTTACAGGGATTTTGAATCCCATGTTCTGATGACTGATGTTTTTTATCCTTTTGAAGGCAGAACAAGTTTGCAACAACATAACCTTTTATATCGCACACAAAAAATATTGTTTTGGTGAAATTTGGCATGTTTGTTGCAAAATTAGATAAAAATTATCTAGTACAAATGTACATTTGGTAAGGACAATGATCATGATGACATTACAATGAAGGAACTTGTATAGATACAAGTGCATTTATTTCAGAAAATGCTACTTTTATAAATTTTTATAAAATGTTCTTGTTTTAAATATATATAAATAACTTAAGCATGTTTAGACAGATCTTTAAAATGAATAAAAGCTGAAACACTGAAAACTTTTTTGACTGGAAAACTTTGTCCACTCATGTTCCGTACAGTAGTGACTATGAGGAGAATTGAACCTATGTAATTCAAACACCTTGTTAAAGAATCTACATTAATTTTATAAAATTAAATTATCTAGATTATCTTTATAGATAATAAGTTAAGGTTGATCAAACTTTATTATTAATACTTTTTTTTTTTTATTTTTACACTGCTGGACATAAGCATTGATAAGGAAGGAAGGGAAAAAAAAATACTCAAGAGTACTTTTAATGTATTTTTGTTATTAATACTATTTTCATTGTCTATTATAATATCTGTCACGTTATATACTGTACAATGTCTCATGTTTGTTGCTTCTACTATCATAATTGTTAATTGTAAATGCCCCCTGTGGGACCATGATTGGAATAATAAATATTTGATTTGATTTGATTTGATTTATCTCCCCTCACAAATTTCCAAAAGAAATAAAAAAAAAAGAAGCTGGATTTGTGAAAACGTAACGATAAGAATAGGGTAATTTCATTAAAATCTGGTAAAATCAATTTCAATCGCTGCTGTTAATGGCAATCAAAGATGACAGAGTACTCCAATACAGTGATACTACTTTAGATTAGAAATTGTGTATCTTTAGATAAATTGATTTATATCTAATATTTACATGGAGATGTTGTGATAAACATGGATACCGCCCAGAATTAGTGCAAGGCAGCATTGCAATCTCTCAACTTAAATGTACAGTAGCATATTGTACACAATACCATTAAAGAATTTAAATCTCCACCACCCGTTATTGAGCCGTCCTAATCTCAAGTATCATTTATTTCCATTTATATTACTTTTAAATGAGGCATAAAGTACACAAGGTTCTATTTAAAAAATAGTTGAAAGATCTGATTACAGATACCTTGTGGTATTTTGAAAATATTTAAAAAATAGATAAAGGTGTGACCTAAATTCAAAATGATTAACTTTTAATGATATTGATTTTTTAAAAGTATTTATTTTATACAAATACAAAAATGTACAGCAGTTGTTTTTCATGTTTATAAAGCTGGGAGGGAGGCACTTACTATGTACCGGGTTATGAGTGGTATAGTTGAGGATGAGTAGCTGCAATAGGTTACTATTTCTAGCTTCATAATATATGAAAAGGTCTAAAATTAAGATGAAATATATATGACAATGTATGATAAGGTTTTAAAATTAAGATGACATATATGATAGTCTTAAAATTCAGAAGAAATAATTATTATGATAAGGTCTAAAATTAAGAAGAAATATATATATACATGATTTAATTAGGTCTAAAAATTAAGATGAAATATATGAAAAAGTTTTTAAAATTAAGATAAAATATATGATACAGTTTTGAAATTAAGATCAAATATATGATAAGGTCTTATATAATTAACATTAAGAAGAAATATATGATAAGGCCTAAAAATTAAGATGAAATAAATGAAAAGGTCTTAAAATTAAGATCAAATATATATGATAAGTTCTTAAAATTCAGAAGAAATATATGATTTAAGGTTGCTGATTAAATGTAGATTTTTCTCAACAGATGCAATTAAAACCACTGTCTTAAAAGCATCAGATATTTGTCAAATCTATTAATCTCTCCATGAAGTACAAAATGTAGGGTAATCATGATTGCTATAGAAAATTATCAAAACATATGATAGAGCATGTATTTTGAATATATCGAATCATATTTCTTATTTAATCTTATGACCTGCGAAGACTTGTTGGACAGTTGTTGTAATTTGATATGAGAGATCATGAGATTAAATGATTTGTGTATGAATGGATCAGTTGTGTATAACATGTCAACAGTTTTCTCCGTTTAATAAGCTTTCTTTCAGAATGTTTTGTCAAATATGAAGTATTAGCAGTTTAATAACACTAATGCATTGAAATTCAAAGAGTGGCATAAAAGATAAATGACTTTTAAAAAAAATAACTCCTGGTTAAGTTCAGTGCAAAGTTGATTTAAACAAAATGTAATATTATATTGTTAAACTTTTCATATAATGATATCTTGTGATATGTAACAATTGACCTTCTATAGATTTAACAGCATAAAAAGGATAAGGATCACTGAACACTGAATGTTACAAGTAAACTGGTCCTAAAATTATATAAAATGTCACTGCAGTAATTTTAATGTAAATAAAATTGAGAATGGAAATGGGGAATGTGTCAAAGAGACAACAACCCGACCACAGAAGAGACAACAGCAGAAGGCCACCAACAGGTCTTCAATGCAGCGAGAAATTCCCGCACCCGGAGGCGTCCTTCAGCTGGCCCCTAAACAAATATATATACTAGTTCAGTGATAATGAACGCCATACTAAACTCTAAATTGTACACAAGAAACTAAAATTAAAAATAATACAAGACTAACAAAGGCTAGAGGCTCCTGACTTGGGACATGTATTATTGATGAAAAGACCTGAAAATACAATTTTTGGCAAATTTTTACAAATTTATGGTATCATTTGATACACATGATACATGTAACTTGTATTGCAACTGACTTTTGCATTTTACAAAATGTTAGACAATATTCAAAAATAAAAATACTACTGTATGATACTAAAAGGCATTCAGAGGAGTAAACAACTGTCTGCACCTAAATCTTTTCCAACTTCTAGTCCGAAACCAATATTACATTTTTCTCATGTGTTTAAACAAAATTTTACAAAACATTTTACTAGTCGGGGCATCGGATTAGTGGCCAACGGTGCAGACTGTAAACAATACATTTAAACATATATGTATGTATACTCATGATACTTATTCAAAACCATAGAAGTTGGAATTAAGTAAACTAATGACATGTTTAGGAATGCATTAGGTACTCTTGTGCATTAAATCACCATTGAGATTTTGAAGTCTGGGTCTTTCATAGCTGACTATGCGGTATGGGTTTTGCTCATTGTTGAAGGCTGCACAGTGACCTATAGTTGTTAACTTCTACGCCATTAGGTCTCTGATGGAGAGTTGTCTCATTGGCAATCATACCACAATTTTTTATTTGGTCTCTGATAGAGAGTTGTCTCATTGACAATCATACAACATCTTCTTATTTTTATTTTATAGGTACATGCCTTATCATACCTTCTCCTTTCTGAAAACACTTAGACATTTATAAAACCAATTAATGCCAGTGAAAAGTTTCCTCAGATATTGACACAATAGATAATCTGCTCTCTACAAAAATACATGTGCATGTACCTACATACATGTAGTTTCATGTAAATATTATGACAGTTGGATGTACTTGAAACGCAACATAATATTTACATTTAATAAAACAAAATAATAGACCAAAGAGTTGCAGATCTATATATATTCTATACTTAAAGTCTAATACATGAATAAAATAAGATGTAAATTTTAAAGTACTTTTCTTTGAGTTCATTACAAGTTAAGAATTTTAATTCCATGTGATTCATGCTTGAGTTATTGTTGACGTTCACACCTGGCATGCCTGGTTTAATAGTATTGATGTCCATTAATTGTTACTGTAAATAATCAATTTTGTGACCTAAAGTAAATTATCTGATTTCTATGAGAGAGTTGAAGATTTGTTCATCGCAGAAAAACAATTATGTCCGATGTATCAGGTAAGCTTGTGATTGGTTGTTTTTTTTCTTCAGATTTCATTTCCATCAAACACAATTTCTATTTATAAAATGTATACTGGGTACTTTTAAGCTTGAGAAGTGGTACACATTGTATACATAGCTATTGTAATAGGCTTTGTGTTGAACTCTAGATCATTATTAAGTACATCATAACATGTATTTTGTTTGGTTATTTTGGAGATACATGTACATGTAGTGTCTAACTGACTTATGCCCACATCTTTACTGATGATCTTACCCTTGCAACAACTCATTCAAAGGGGTCTAACCCTGAGGGTCACTTGCATGGAATTGGGAATAGAAATATTGTCACTCTTGGTCTTCTTCTGACAGAAAAAAAACCTTGCCAGAGTGGGGCATCCCTTTGGTTGTGCATGGTATATAAATTTGCAGCCACTTTTTCCCTCGTTTCTCAGTTGCAGCCCAAATTTCCCACCTTTCATCCCTGTTGACCCCTTTTACAGGACCTACCTGTTGTATGTATTGTTGATTTTTTTTCGTCCTAAACATGCATGAAATATTTGTCTTTGGACATTATTCATGTATAAGCAACTAGTAATAAATCAAGGGGTCTGTAAGTGGTCTGTTAATGGAGAAAATGGTTAATCTTAGCTTAATAAATATTACCACACACATGTAACAATACTAACAAATGTGTGTAGGATATAATGTTTTTGACCTGTCAGTCCATTGCAACTCCTCTGACACCACTCAACAGAATTTCATGAAACTGCATAGGTGTTCCCCTTTATGTACATTTCAGAATAAGTAACAGATGATAATTCTTCCAACAAAGTTATTTGGAGAAAACATACATGTAGGAAGTCACCCTGTCTGTCCGTCTTTTATCTATGTGCCTTATAAGCACATCTAATTGACAAAAGGATATTGCTTAAACTTTACACTATCTGAGGGTTTGAATATATAGAAGAATAAATGATGGTTCTACATGTTAAAAGGGAGATAATCAAACATGCTGAAGTTGTGGTAGACAAAATATAAGGATATAGTTATTATACTTGTTTATATCAGCTGGTTTGTGTTTTGCATTAACAGAAAAGTAAGAAAATCACAGTATGAGTGAGGAACCCATGTAGAGTTTGTGGTAGACAGTTTGAATTGTACTTTTTGTATTTTGATTTAATTACAAGTATTTTCACAGTTGGGGGGATGATGCTATGCAGAATACAATGTATGTAGCGGTAGCAGACAGTAAAAATTGTCCTTTAATATTTGTATGTTTTATTAATCGTGTAATTTTTTTTTTCACAGTTGGAGTGAGAAAACCCTGCAGAATTTGTGGTAGACAGTTTGTTCCAGAATCATTGGTAATTATGCATACAAACAGAAAATAAAAGAGAATATCACCTAGGCATTGTTTGTTATAAAACTAGACCAAAAAATTTAGAGAGAAAGTAGATCAGATGAATGGATAATTACATGTAAATTCCAGATCCAAACGAGGAGTATACTGCTTTATGTTTGTCTGTTTCTCCACCAATACATGTATATGGCCTTCAGTCCATCCATCCAGTGAAATTTTCATCACATTATTGTCGAGCCTTCGACTTTTGTCGAAAAAGCGAGACATAGCAATCCTTCATTCCGTTGGCGTCGTCGGCGGCGTCCACAAATATTCACTATGTGGTTAAAGTTTTTGAAATTTTAATAACTTTCTTAAACTATCCTAGATTTCTACCAAACTTGGGCAGAAGCTTGTTTATGATCATAAGATAGTATCCAGAAGTAAATTAAAAAAAAAAATCCTGTTTTTCTGTATTTTACTTATAAATGGACTTAGTTTTTCTGCCAGGAAACATTACATTCACTCTGTGGTTAAAGTTTTCAAAATTTTAATAACTTTCTCAAACTATCCTGGATTTCTACCAAACTTGGACAGAAGCTTGTTTATGATCATAAGATAGTATCCAGAAGTAAATTAAAAAAAAAATCCTGTTTTTCCGTTTATTTCTTATAAATGATCTTAGTTTTTCTGCCAGGAAACATTACATTCACTCTGTGGTTAAAGTTTTTAAAATTTTAATAACTTTCTCAAACTATCCTGGATTTCTACCAAACTTGGACAGAAGCTTGTTTATGATCATAAGATAGTATCCAGAAGTAAATTAAAAAAAAAAAATCCTGTTTTTCTGTATATTACTTATAAATGGACTTAGTTTTTCTGCCAGGAAACATCACATTCACTATGTGGTTAAAGTTTTTAAAATTTTAATAACTTTCTTAAACTATCCTGGATTTGTACCAAACATGGACAGAAGCTTGTTTATGATCAAAAGCTAGTATCTAGAAGGAAATTTTGTAAAAAAAAGAATTTCCTGTTTTTCCGTTTATTACTTATTAATGGACTTAGTTTTTCTTCCAGTTAACATTACGTATAGTCTGCAGTTAAAGTTTTTAAACATTTATTAGATTCATAAACTATCCTGGATTTTTACCAAACTTGGACAGAAGCTTCTTACAATAAAAAAATTGTATCGAGAGGAATATTTTTATTAATTTTTTCCTCATCTTATTTTTGTTCCTAAGAACCCTTACGAATTTTTCTGAGAAACAAAGCAGAGCTTCCTGAAATTTGGTATCAACCTACTCTGGATTCGTGAGATTTCGTGAGGTTTTCATGGATTTCGAACAAAGAAATTAAATTTTCAATGAAGAACAAATTTTCTATTGGCTTGATTGCAGACTTTGGTAAATTTACCTGTACGAAATGGGACGCCCGTAAATGACACGGAAACCAGGCGTAGAAATCATACTTTATCAGGGCGTCATTGTAGTGTTTAGAGAATGCATGTCCAGGCGTCAACCAGGCGTAAACCAGGCGGAAACCAAGCGTAACTGAGGCGGAAACCAGGCGTAAAATAAGGCGTAATATTTAAATGAGTACGCCTGGTCCACAGAAAACCAGGCGTTATATGCAAATGAGTACGCCTGGTCAATAAAAAAAGCAGGCGTAATATCCTTACATAATACTACACTTATTTTAAATCAGTGTATTACCCTAGCTGTGTACTTTTGTGTATTTGATACAAACTTCTGTACTATTGCTTAAATTTCTCATTTTTTGACATGAAACTTGAAATATTAACCATTAATTGATGAAGCTATATAAATAAATATATACATATTAGACAGACACTGGCTCAAATAAGTTTAAGTTTAAATTAGAATTATGACAATTAATTCTTACTGAAATAAAACCAGCATTTTAACTAAGTGTTTTTTTTAAATTAATGTCATTTGAACCAAAATATCAATGATAATACTGCAATTTAACTTAATGTGAAAGATTTTAATGTTATCATCCAAGGATGAAGGTTTTCAGAATTCAAAATTACTGTTAAAAAATAAAACTTAGTTACTCACATAATTATCTTTTACCATGTATATTACTTTCCTTTTATTTCACAATTTTCATTAATCAATTTGATTCCATAATTCCAATTTCAAATTCTTCCAAAAAGCACAAAACAAGCTTAATTATCACTGAATATATAAAGCTGCCATAAGTCCAACTCTTGCAAAATAATACCAAGGAGCAAAATTTTGAAAAAAAAATCCCATGATCCTTTATCAACAAAGCATTATGGGTATTATGATTTACGCCATACCAACTGTTTTACGCCCGTAGGAAAATTTACGCCTTGCTCATTTCAATTTACGCCAGGTTTACCATATTTTCTACGCCCGTGAGGACTACAAATTTACGTTTCCTGTTCCCTTACGCCTGGATCTGGACACGTAACTACCACTTATGCCAGGTTTACGCCAGATTTCCAGGCGTAATACGCCTTATAATTTCGTACGGGTGTAACCACAAAATCAAATATCCACAAAAATACATTTTTATCTCAACCCATGGAAATTGGTAGTCCCCATGAAAATATATGAATCTGCAGTATCATGTGATTATGATTTACCTGTGATGCATTTTGACATCAATCACTCATTAACTTCCTGTAAAACGAATATTCTAAGGACAAAACAAAAAACATATGTGTTTACAGTCACTCGGCCCACCCTCATTTTATCGCCACAACCCTTTTTTTATTGGCAATTTTCTGAAATTCTGGAAATATCCACCTTTTCTGTCACTGGTACTGATATTTACCGTATTATTAAAACAACAATGGAGGCCTCCAGTGCCAGCACTGCCAGCATTTTGTCGCTGTGCACCATTACAGTGTCTTCTGTTTCTCTATATGTAGCTAATTGTGTCAAGAAACTACGATTGAACTCCCCCCCCCCCCCCCCCCAAAAAAAAAAAAATTTGACCTACCGAGTACCGACCCTATTTTTTTTTCAGCATGTGACAGTAAACTCTTATATTTTTATTTTTGGCCTTACTATTCATATACATGTTTTAGATTGTGTCCCCTTTTTCTAATGAACTACAAAACAAAGCTTCCTAACTAATATAATGGAACAGGAATATTTAATCTGGGCAAATTAGTTATTTGAGTACTCAGTGCTGGAGCTTCTCATGACCACCATTGTAAATTTATGTAGAATTCATGTTGACTGAAACTATTGTAAAATCAGTTATTCCTTTCCACAACATAATATATCATTCATGACTTTGATGAAAACAATTACATTTATAAGCTAAGTATATACAAAATGTCATTCAAAGCTGGTGGCATCATTAATTTAAACTGATGAAAACAGCAAATGTTAAAATGATTTCTAAATTTACAGAACAGTTCAAATGTTTTTTTTTATGTTTTTTTTCATTTTAGGCCAAGCATGAACCTATTTGTAGAAAGACTGCAGCAAAAAAGCCTAAAGTATTTGATTCAGCCAAACAAAGGGCTGAGGGTACAGAAGTCAGCTATAAACAGATAAAACAGTCTCAGAAAAAGGTAAGCCTCCTCGTTGGAGAAAACATTTGATTCAGTTGCACACCGAGTGCTGATTTTCAATGTTAATCATAAAAAACAATTACACCTAAAACCTTAAAAATAGTGAGGATCCTTACTTTTGGTTCAAAAACACACAGGACGTTTTTTTATCAACATTATATCGTAAATTACACACACAAACTCAACAAAAAGTAGACAATTATAATTGTTATTGTATAGTCACAAAAGTTTGAATCAGCTGAAGGACTACCAGGTGAGTGCATAATTCTTCAAAAAAGAAAGCAGATATGTAGACTTAAGTAAAGGGAGATAACTGTTCAAATCAATAATGTGTTTATCATACCGGTAAGCAGTTTCTTTATTGCTTTTTAAACATTTTTGTGAAACAAAATTTTTATATTCTACATTGCTTGGAAGCTTAAAAAACTATTATAAAGATAGTTTACACAAACGTACAAGAGATATGTAGAGGTTATGTCCCTTATCCTAGGTCTACCTAATTAATCTGAACCAAGATTTGTTATTATTTACATAAATTCTTTCATAAATGTTATAACTAACTTATCGACCAATTACAGGCCAAGCAGGAGGCAAGTATAAAACCAAACAAAGCATTAAACAGTCAATCTCATACTCAAAATCTTATTTCACTTTTCTAGTCATATGAAATTCTTATGCAGTGATTTTTTAGTATTTTATGGAGAAATGTCGATTTTATCCTTCACAGACACCATTTCTGGATAAGGGCTATTTAAAAGTTAATAAAAATACATGCTCAGTAGCACAGGATTATCATGCTAATTTAGAAATTATACTGACAAAATTTACCTTTTGAAATTAAAATTGAAAAATCATATTGCATTTGAATAATTGACAACATATGTCCTTGATTTTACAGTTGCAAATATCTGTAATATGACTCTATTACACATCGTCATACAACTAAATTTGCAGCATTAAAATCACTGGTTTGTGTTGACTAGTCTTGAAAATACAATTATTACTAATTGGCCAAATAAATAAATCTTAAGCTTTTCGACCAAAGTTATGTATAAAAGATGAGATTTTTTTTTCTATTTGACCAGAAAATATATCATAAAACTGAATTGGAATAGGTAAGTCTAATTTGTGACTTGTACCTAATTTTTCTAAACAAAAATGAGACTGAAAATGCAGGTTTTAGATTAACGAGAAAAAAAGTGAAAAGCAAAAGATTTATTAATTGACTTGACTTGTATTTGTACAATTTAGGAGTAAATGAATATCATCATCGATAGGATTGAGACTATAAAAGTATGACTGTTAGGTGTACCCATCATTGTTGTAAATCATGCATCTTAAGAATCAGTAGTATATTTCACTATGAACCAAATATGACTGTCGTTACACTGGCAGATGTTTCCTGCCACAGAACAGCAGTCGAAATTGTTTTCAAAAGAACAGTATATTACAAAAACTTATCCCTGGATTATATTCCACTGTTGGTTACTCAATAAAAGTTTGGTGTTCTTTTCTCTTGTTCGATGTTTACCTGGACTTAAAAGGATTACTGTAAACCAACTTCTTGGGATTCAGTATTTTTTTGTCAGATTTATATGGATCTCATGTGTAAAGGCTTACCACAAATTTAAATGTTCAAAGTAGTACAAATTATCTATGAGTAAGTATGGCAGACTTTGGCAACACCACAAAATCAAATATCCACCAAATTACAATTTTTCTTCAATCCACAGAAATAGATAACCATGAAAATAAATCAACCAACAGTTATTTCCCTAGCAATTTATTCAAACCACTTTAAATAATAAATTGATTTAAATTGATACACGAACAAAGTTGGAAAATCAAGAAAATATTTGCCACAAAGTCACCTAGAAAGGGGAATAAAATTCACGAACATTAGTTGGTTTACAGTTTTCTTAATGCATGGATTCACACACAGAACCGTTCTTAACAGTCTCAAAAAGCAAACCTCAAGAATGCAACTTGTAAATAACAGTCAAGAACAGTCCAGGTAAAAGTAGAAAAAGACTGTAGATGTCACCCTAAGTTGGTAAAAGCTGCTGATGTTAAATTCAAAATACTTGTCACTGGGATGCAAGTCATGTCTTTGGTTCATAGTGAATTGAAAGGAATATTTATGTCATAATATTGTCAGACTTATATGTCAAATTAAGTTTTTGTTGTAAGAAGATAAAAATGAATATCAAGTTCTGAAAAGTTTAAACAACAGACAATTATATTATGTATTTCTCTTGTTAGAAATGTAACATTGTAGAAGAATTATAAATTAATGGTGTCATATCTTTGTCTGCAAGGTACAATACCACAAAGGGAAGGCTGGGATTGATTTTGGGGGTAATTGTCTCAAAATTTTAGGAATTAGGGGCCAAAAAGGGGAAAAAAACAAGCATTTTTCTAGTTTCAGGACAATAACTTGTGTTCAAGTGTATGGATCTCTCTGACATTGTACCACAATGTTCCATATCACAAAGGGAAAGCTGGGTTTGAGTTTGGGGGTAATTGCCCTAAACGTTTAGGAATTTAAGGGCCAAAAAGGGGCCAAAAAACAAGCATTTTTTCTAGTTTCCAGACAATAACTTGTGTTCAAGTGTATGGATCTCTCTGAAATTGTACTGCAAGGTACCATACCACAAAGGGAAGGCTGGGATTGAGTTTGAGGGTGATGAATCATAAGGGGGTTCAACAAATTTGGGGGGTGGATTTTTTTCCTTTTTTTTCTTTAAAATTTTCCATTTTAAATTGGTTATTTATGATTTATATATAAAAGAATGTTGTGTCCATACTTGCCCCAACTGTTCAGGGTTCGACCTCTGCGGTCGTATCAAGCTGTGCCCCAGCGGAGCATTTTATTATTATTATTACAAAGGGAAGGCTGGGATTGAGTTTGGGGGTGATGAATCATAAGGGGGTTCAAAAAATTGGGGGGTGATTTTTTTTTCCTTTTTTTCTTTAAAATTTTCCATTTTAAATTTGTTATTTCTGATTTATATATAAAAGCAAATAATAATCATATGGTTTAGGTAAATTAGGTAAATTAAAAACTTTTAAGTTCTTAGACCACATTCATTCTGTGTCAGAAACCTATGCTGTGTCAAATATTTAATTTGAAACTAAAAAAATATTCGTCAGGGATGTCTTTAAGATATAAAATGTTTATGTTTTGAAAGTATTTAAAAAAGATAAGATGTTGGTGGGCCAATATTTTAATACATGACAAAGTATAAAGAAAGTGGGCTGACATATTGTAAGGAGAAGTTTTAAATGTGTGTAATATATGTAGTCAGCATCCCTATATATTGTTAGTCAGTCAAGGAACTGTGTATAACTATCAGGGCTTCCAAAAAAATATTTGAGCCAGCCGGACATTTTTGTCTTATCCTGATTTTAATCCCTTAAGACTAAGTAACAAAAGGAAATCATGGTAATCAGTTGTGCACCTAACATGCATGGTCAGTTGGGCATCTACATGTATTGTAGAAGTTATGGTCAGTTGGGCATCTACATGTATGGTCAGTTGGGCATCTACATGTATGGTCAGTTTGGCATCTACATATATGGTCAGTTTGGCATCTACATGCATGGTCAGTTGGACATATACATGCATGGTCAGTTGGGCATCTACATGGCATGGTCAGTTGGGCATCTACATGCATGGTCAGTTTGGCATCTACCAGACTACATGGCATGGTCAGTTTGGTATCTACATGCATGGTCAGTTGGGCATCTACATGCATGGGCAGCTGGGCATCTACATGCATGGTCAGTTGGGCATCTACATGCATGGTCAGTTGGGCATCTACATACATGGTCAGTTGGGCATCTACATGTATGGTCAGTTGGGCATCTACATGTATGGTCAGTTGGGCATCTACATGTGTGGTCAGTTGGGCATTTTCATGTATGGTCAGTTGGGCATCTACATGTATGGTCAGTTTGGCATCTACATGTATGGTCAGTTGGGCATCTACATGCATGGTCAGTTGGGCATCTACATGTGTGGTCAGTTGGCATCACTATCAACAAACATAATCAATAGTTAAGATATTTTGACTTTATGATTTAATTCATACTGGGGTCTATTTATATTTTTGATTTGTGAATAAGAATTATTCTCATTTTGTTGCATGTCAAAGCACTTTTTCACAAACTGATGCATTCTGGGTAATTTTTTCAAAAGCATAGTCCAAATTTATGTGATTGATTTTTAACGTCCTTAACTATGGATATTTTACCAATGGTGTACCATCATTTTGATTTTTGGTGTTACAAGCAACGAAATTACCAATAACTCTTAGATTCTGAAATGGGGAATTATAGTTTCTTGAAAAATAGAGACAATTCATTAATTTATCTTAATAATTTAATTTTGGATGTAGCACATCTTCTGATCAGCTGAAAGTGTTTTGTCTATCAGCTCATAGACATAATTTTGTCATGTCACGTGACGTCACTAACGTTTTTTTCAAAATTTACTCCTAAAAATAGAATTTAGAATTAAATTATAATCTATGCAGGTTATTTAGTGTGCACCACATTTTTGATGTTATTTCTTTATAGACAGAAAAAATATTACAGTAATTCCTTAAATGTCATCCTAATTATGCAGTTTATTTGAGCTATTAATATCACAAGTTTTATTGTTCATTCAGTTTAGCACAGATGTAATGATTTTTGCACAGACAAGGATCATTGATTAAATTTTATCATATTACATTAATAGTTATTAAGTGTAATTTCCCAAATCATTTTTCAGATGACAGAATTGATAAATTTACCAATGCATTGGTTTTCCACTAGCTGATTTCTGTTATTTACTGAGAAACAAAAATAATGCTTATTAATTTATTTATCCATATTTTTCTTTGACCTTGATATTTAGGGCATTAAAAAATGAAAACAACACGTTATAGATTTCATGCGTCCGAGGCGCTTTTCTGGATTTATCTTCATCAGGAACGCTCAAAGCCGAATATTTAAAAGCCAAGAATGAATAAGAACTGACACAGTTGAAGAGCTATATGACCAAAATGGAACTAAAAATAATAGCTAAATCCATCCAATTTTGACTGACAGAGTTGAAACCCTAGTTGCTTTAGTTTCTTTATAATTTAATAATTTTTGAAAGGTTTTGTCAGTACCGAAGTATTGACTTCTGTGCTGATGATACCCACGGGGACGGATATTCCACCAGCAGTTATATCAAAGGATAATCAGAAAAAAAGTTGTGCAATTAATGAATGATGATAAAACTCATTCATTCCACAATCAATTAAGCTTGTTAGACAACATGTGTGCAATGCATACTTTCAAAGTGTTGAAATGTTTATGCAAATTGAACTGCTGAAAATAATTAAATAGTCACGAAACTGTGAATTATGATAGGACATCGCAGTATGATCTTACTCATAGTACTTCACAGGGGCCTCAGTGGCAGAATGGTCTAAGTAGTTCATCTACTGTATCTTTGTCAACACTTATGTTGTGAGTTTGAATCCTGCAGGTAGCAGGTACGTTCAATCCAATCTTAAGGATGTTCGCTACTCTGTTTCAAAATAACAAGCTTTTTAAAAAACTATTAAAAATTGATAGTATACAAATAAAGGAACTGAAAAAGCAGAACAAATGTAGGGTCCGTGTGCTTGTTTTAGAGATATAAGCCATTGAAAAAATTTGGCAGGAAATAATTCTCTCTAGACTTTTCTTACATTTAACATTGGCACCCATTTCTTTAAAAAATTATGAAAAAATAACAAGGATTTTATAGGATTTTCAAATACGGCTTTTTAAACTATGTGTAATAAAATTATGAAAAGAAAAGTAGGGGTTAGCAGGCAAAGTTTTTTAAGGCATTCAAATGGATAAAATCAGAGGATTCGGAAAATCTGACAAAAATTCCAAAACATGACAAGCGAACGTCCTTAATTAACTAGAATGGCCAGTTTTCCTGTCAAAGATTGTGGTTCTCTCCAGGCTTCCTCCACCAATCAAAACTTACCACCACGATATAGACAATAGTACTGGAAGTGGTGTTAAACATCAACAATCAATCAATCCTTACCACCTTGATATAGACAATAGTACTGAAAGTGGTGTTAAACACCAACAATCAATCCATCCTTACCACCACAATATAGAAATAGTACTGAAAGTGGTGTTAAACACCAACAATCAATCAATCCTTACCACCTCGATATAGACAATAGTACTGGAAGTGGTGTTAAACATCAACAATCAATCAATCCTTACCACCACGATATAGACAATAGTACTGGAAGTGGTGTTAAACATCAACAATCAATCAATCCTTACCACCACGATATAGACAATAGTACTGGAAGTAGTGTTAAACACCAACAATCAATCCTTACCACCTCGATATAGACAATAGTACTGAAAGTGGTGTTAAACACCAACAATCAATCAATCCTTACCACCACGATATAGACAATAGTACTGGAAGTGGTGTTAAACACCAACAATCAATCCTTACCACCTCGATATAGACAATAGTACTGAAAGTGGTGTTAAACACCAACAAGCAATCAATCCTTACCACCACGATATAGACAATAGTACTGGAAGTGGTGTTAAACACCAACAATCAATCCTTACCACCTCGATATAGACAATAGTACTGAAAGTGGTGTTAAACACCAACAATCAATCAATCCTCACCACCACGATATAGACAATAGTACTGGAAGTGGTGTTAAACACCAACAATCAATCCTTACCACCTCGATATAGACAATAGTACTGAAAGTGGTGTTAAACACCAACAATCAATCAATCCTTACCACCACGATATAGACAATAGTACTGGAAGTGGTGTTAAACACCAACAATCAATCCTTACCACCTCGATATAGACAATAGTACTGAAAGTGGTGTTAAACACCAACAATCAATCAATCCTTACCACCACGATATAGACAATAGTACTGGAAGTGGTGTTAAACACCAACAATCAATCCTTACCACCACGATATAGACAATAGTACTGGAAGTGGTGTTAAACACCAACAATCAATCCTTACCACCTCGATATAGACAATAGTACTGAAAGTGGTGTTAAACACCAACAATCAATCAATCCTTACCACCACGATATAGACAATAGTACTGGAAGTGGTGTTAAACACCAACAATCAATCCTTACCACCACGATATAGACAATAGTACTGGAAGTGGTGTTAAACACCAACAATCAATCCTTACCACCTCGATATAGACAATAGTACTGAAAGTGGTGTTAAACACCAACAAGCAATCAATCCTTACCACCTCGATATAGACAATAGTACTGAAAGTGGTGTTAAACACCAACAATCAATCAATCCTTACCACCTCGATATAGACAATAGTACTGAAAGTGGTGTTAAACACCAACAATCAATCCTTACCACCACGATATAGACAATAGTACTGGAAGTGGTGTTAAACATCAACAATCAATCCTTACCACCACGATATAGACAATAGTACTGAAAGTGGTGTTAAACACCAACAATCAATCAATCCTTACCACCTCTATATAGACAATAGTACTGAAAGTGGTGTTAAACATCAACAATCAATCAATCAATCACAGTATTTCACAATGGTTTTATTGGTTTATTCATTTTTGTCTTGCCTAAGACAATTTTAGCAGAATGTCTGACAATTTATGTATGTTATCAGTTATCACCTGTAGCAACAACAGCATGGACGGTTAATATTTCAGAACCTAGACATCCTAGACCTGCCATATTTTGTAAAAACATGTTGGCTAATGGTTTAAAGTTTCCATCTAGCATAAGGCAGTCAACCATGACCTCATTTTCATTGTTTAATGACTTATAACTTTAATGAGCATTTAATTTAAGCACTTAGGTCTTTTTTTTCTACTATGAGTAATACATGCAGTTTGGATAAGTGGAATACTTTGTCCTGTCCAATTGACTTCAACTTAATGAGATTTAACTGTATTTGTTATATATAGAAAGGTTGTAAAGTGGACATGGTCATCTGACATATTATGACCCCTGAACTTGATCTCTTTTCATGGTTCAATGATCAGCATAACTGTTAGTTCTTAGCTCACTTTTTCATTTTCTATGACTAAAAGATCAACTATACCTGTTTCTATTTGTACATGCATACCTGTCTTGTCCTGTTTTCATGGTTCTTAAAACATGTAGTTAGACCTTTTTCTCAAATTTTGTCAAACTAATATTCATTCATATTTATACTTTGGAAGAGATTGGGGATGTAAATATGATATAATATACAGATTATTTAGATATATATAATCTCTCTCTTTCCAGGTTGTAAAACCTCCAAAATCCAACTGGAGATTGCAGCATCAAGACTTTATCAATACTGTGAGAGCAGCTAGGGGTGTAACACAGGCTTTAGAAAGAGGAGATCCCCTACCTCCTCCTCCCCCTCCTTCCATTAACCCAGGTAAGTCATGGATGAAACTCAAGCCTTAAAGAGAGGATTCCATCCCCTTCCTCCCCTTCCTCTATTAACCCAAGTAAGTCAGGGATGTCTCACAGGCCTTAAAGAGAGGAGTTACCCTACCCCGTTCTCACCCTCCCTCTATTAACCCGTGTAAGTCAGGGATGTCTCGCATGCCTTAAAGAGATGAATTACCGTACCCCGTCCTCCCCTCCCTCTATAAACCAAGGTAAGTTGGGGATGTCTCACAGGCCTTACAGAGAGGAGTTACCCTACCCCCTCCTCCCCCTCCCTCAATTAACCCAGGTAAGTCGGGGATGAGTCATAGGCCTTAAAGAGATGAGATCCATTACCCATCCTCCCCTCCCTCTTTAAACCAAGGTAAGTCAGGATGTCACTCAGGTCTCAGAGAGGAGATTCCCTACCCGTCTTACACCTCCTATTAATCTAGATATGTCAAGGATGTCACTCAGGCCTAAGAGAGAGAGATCCCCTACCCCTCCTTCACCTTTCTGTATGAATTATTGTCAAGTCTGGGTGTAACACATTATAAATGCTAAATTTGAAATATTCTAAAAAAAAAATGTTAGAAACTCAAACTGCTTTTAATAGGCAGTTGGCTTTGACATCTGTTCTAATTATTCAGACTAAAATGTTCTAACAAAATTAAGTTTAATAACAGAATTCTTATATTTTACCAAAAAAATATAATGGTTTAACATTTTAGATTATGTGATGCTTTAGCTGTAACCTAACTTTAGGACTATCTAAGCACTAATTGATACTCACCAATATTTAAATACAATACTCTTATTTATTAATTTTCAGATTATGAGCAATGTCCTTACTGTGCCAGAAGATTTAATGCAAAAGCTGCTGAGAGGCATATAAACTTTTGTAAGGAACAACAATCTAGGATACCTAACCGGGCAACTAAGGGTGATCCCAATGCTAAAGCTAAAATGATGGCTCGTAACACGGTAAGCTAAAATGATGGCTCGTAACACGGTAAGCTAAAATGATGGCTCGTAACATGGTAAGCTAAAATGATGGCTCGTAACACGGTAAGCTAAAATGATGGCTCGTAACACGGTAAGCTAAAATGATGGCTCGTAACACGGTAAGCTAAAATGATGGCTCGTAATATGGTAAGCTAAAATAATGGCTCGTAACTCCCAAGATAAAATGATGGCTCGTAACAAACACTGTAAGCTAAAATCGGTAAGATAAATGATAGCTTGTAACACGGTAATAAACTAAAATGATGGCTCGTAACATGGTAAGCTAAAATGATGGCTCATAACACTGTAAGCTAAAATGATGGCTCATAACACAGTAAGCTAAAATTATGGCTCGTAACTCGGTAAGCTAAAATGATGGCTCGTAACACGGTAAGCTAAAATGATGGCTCGTAACACTATAAGATAAAAGATAAAATGATGGCTCGTAACATGATAAGATGAAATGATGGCTCGTTACACACGTATGGTAAGGTGAAATGATAGCTCATAACACTGTAAGATAAAATGTTAGCTCATAACACTGTAAGATAAAATTATGGCTTGTTATAACTACTAAAGAAAAATGAAGGTAAGTAACACAGTGAGATAAAATAATGGCTTGTAACTTGTAAGATAAAATTGTGGCTCGTTACACAGTAAGATAAAATGATGGCTTGCAACCTAGTTATGATAAAATAATGACACTTAATTGAGTTAAGTTAAATTATAGTTTTATATGAAATAAGGAGATTTAGTATGACTGCCAATGAAACAACTATCTGCCAGAGACCAAACGACATAGATGTTAACAGTATATGTCACAGTACAACCTTTAACAATGAGCAGAACCAATACCGCATAGCAAGCTGTAAAAAACAATGAACAGAAATCAAACATTATGTTTTTTATCATTTTTATTTTTAACATGTTACAGAAGCGTTCTCACAAAACATTAGTTTCAAGTTAATTATTTGGTTTATATATAGAGGATTTCTCATTTGAACAACTGTATTGTACAATTTATTAATTTAAAGTACTTGGATTTTACAGTATCAGGCACCTAAGCCAAAGACAAAAGCAAGCCCAGGAGGAGCAGGAGATAGTCCAGGGTATGGCAGGGCACCAGCATCTCAACCAGGTAATGCATTGTGGGTAATTCATTGGTCTGTACACAAGTGTTCCACATCATTTATACTTTGAACATTATCACAATTATATCATATTGATTGTGATTTTCATCTGAAAACTTTTTTGAAGGAAGTATTTGTTTACATAAAAATTAAAGGAAGAAACTAAGGGAGTGATATTTCCTTTAGGTTATTTTTTATTAAACAAAACAAGAAACAAACAAAAAAATATGGCAGAAAGGACCATTTTCAGTTTTTTTTTGTTATGCATTGCTCAATTTGATTTCAGTTCTTTTTCATCAATAAATAAATGGAAGTCAATTCGAGGATAAAATGTCTTTACCGAGCTGTCAAGATAGTAACTGAGCAGAGAATTGTAATATTATTCCATTTATTTCCCTAGGCCAAAAATCCAAAAAGCCTCTGTCAAAAAAAAGTGACAAACAAGCGACCAAGTCTTCATTGTGTTCTATCTTATGACAAGGTATCTGAGATGTGTTTTATCCTTCATTAGATTGCTAATACAGAGGACATACCGGGTCGGCACTGATCTGTTCTGATTTTTGTTGAATTTGGGTGTTTGGACAAACATTTACCATCACTTCCTTTGTTGGTAGCAACTGTTTGTCAAAATTGTTTAAGTGAAGAATTAAATTACATTTTAGCTCACCTGTCCACAGGGCCATTGTGAGCTATTGCTTTTGCCTGGCATCCATCGTCTGACTAATAATAACTTCAGAAAATTTTAAATGAATTATAGTTTTCATCTCCTTTTCCCCCTTTTTTTTTGCAGATATCAGTCTGTTGTTGACATTCTTCATTACACTTTTTATATGGTCTTTTCCTTTAAAACCCATTTTGCAATTGAATTCAAATGTGAACACAATCGTCCTTCAATTGTTTTCTTGTAAATGTATTCCTGATGTTCCTGCCAATCCCCAAGCATCCTGTTAAACTAAGTATAGATCATATGGTTTTAACAAGAAATATGATACTTTTATGACTGTCATAAACATTTATTTAATTTTCCACTTACAGTTGTAAAATAAAAAGTTACATATATTTTTCCCCAAAAATTTCTCGTTTTACTTAATTATGACCATTTTGACAAAAATTCGTTAAGTGAAAGTTATCTCCATTTCAGCCTTCTTTGCAGATTTGCTATGATCTCTGCACATTAAAGAACCATTGCAACAACTCTCTGAGGGGTCAAAGCAAAATTTCTGTACCTCATTTTCCAGTGGCAGTCCAAATTACCAGCCTTTCATCCTGGTCAACCTACCTACATATTAACTGATCATTCGTCCTGAATATGCATGACAAATTTGCCACTGGACATTAAACAAGCAACAATCAATCATATGAGTTGGCATTTGGACTTAGAAAGTTCATAGAATAACTTTTTTTCTATAAAATAAGGAGATGTGGTATGATTGTGGTATGGGGTGGGGGTGGGGGGAAGGTGGGAGACAAAAAAAGATTCTGAAAGTGGGAGGTGGGAGAAGGGTACCCCACTGTCTACCCCCTCATAATATTATAGTATTTATTCCTTAAGGAATAAAGGGTATAGAATATATGTTCCAAAAGGAACAGATATCATGACATTGTTTATTAGAAAGTTCCCAGGGGAACTAGGCAAAACAAATATACGTTGACATCTTGACCAAACCATATTCCCCTTATGAATTGACATGAATATATTGTGCATACATTGCATAGTTAATGGGTGAGCGATACAGGCTACTTGGATCCTCCAGTTCAGAATAGAAAAGCAGGTGATGAAAATATTTATTCAAAAAATTATTGATAAAAAAATTTATAAAAAAAGTATATGAGCTGACCTGTTATCCTCATAGTAAACATGTAATACTGCTAAACCCATAATGATAATGGCGTTAAGAAGCTAAGTTACAATTGACATTACCAAATTACATTAGTGGAAACTTAAATTTCACATCTGATTTTTAATGCATGGCCGAAGTTACAATAAAGCTTTTCTGCTTTTTAACTTTTTTTTAAACTTACATGTACTTTTTAAGGTGATTGGAAAATTGCCTATAAGAATTATTTTATATGCAAAACAATGGCTTTAAGCTAACATATTTGTTTGTTTCAATCATGCCGTTATAGCTAGATTAAAGTTTTAGTGTTATTTAGTTGTATATTTTTTAGAAATCTAGGTTAATTTAGAGGACTGTATTTGAAATCAATGTCGAGAATTTTTTTTAACTCAAAGGTCAACAAAATATTTTAAAATTCAAAACTATATGTCAGGACCTATGGCTATACATGTCATTTATCTGGGTTATTTTGTGTTGTTTAGTTTCTATAAATACCATTTGCATTTAATTATCAATTTATAATTTTTAGTGAAAAAAAGAATATACCAGTCAGATTTGAGTTGATTTATCTACACAGTCATATATAAAAAATATAAGAATTCCATTGGAAAAAAATTCCTTGTCAAAATGGGTTTAGTTAGTCTATAATACCATACAGTATGCATTAAATTTTAAAATGAAACCATGCTACTATATAACTTAAACCCAATAATAGGTCTATCTATTAATCTAAAGCATAAGTTATGGTATATATATATCTGTATATGCACATTGCACGTTTTTGGTAGAACCTTTTTCCTAAATACATTCACAATAAATCTGTAACTAATAAAACTCCTTGATAATAATTTTTATTTCTTTTTATTATTGACAACAGTTTTTTGTTATTTTTATCTTTGACGAAGGATCTCATTTCTTCCTTTATGTTTGGCAATTGTTTTTTTTCTTTTCTTGTTTCTATCATTTATCTTTTTCTATTTTTTTTTGGTTAGGATGAGCTTACCTTGCATCCATAAAATGTCACCAAAATAAGGATGCAGTTATGCATGTTTTTGTGAAATACATATAGTTATTTTTCGTCCATTGTGTCCATGCAATATCATGAAAAATACGAATTGATTGTAATTTTTTGTTTAATTTATTGGCAACTTTTTATAGACCCAGAACTTAGAGTTCAACATATTGTATAGATACCTGTCTATCGGGAAGAATGTAAGTTGACCTCTAGATGTCTATTGGGAAGACTGTAATGTGTTAATGTTATTTTTGTCGTTGGGTTGCTGTCTCATTGATGTATATCCCATTCATCTAGAAAAACTTTATAAAATATATGATTAGCCAGTAGCTTGACAGTGATGAATTATGACGTGTGAGCACTTGTCGGACACCTACTTCCTGTTTGCCGATATATTGAATTTCCGGTGTGTTGAATAGATTTGAAATTTTTTTGTTACACATTTCTTCAGTCCTTCTGATAGAATGACTTGTAAGCACTTATTAATTTTGGGCCTTATTGACCTTACCTTTGTAATTATCCATTTATCTCATCTGTTGTAAGATATTTCATGATTTTCAGAATTATGGCAGAATACACAAAACCTGCTATAGACGACTTTCTAATTCTAGGCAAATAGCGATAAACAGATTATCAGTGGTCTTTCAAACTCTTAAGATGTTTCTCGGCCACATCTCATCTGTTGGCCTTACGGTGAAATTGTAGCTGAGAAACACCCTCTGGTTTGAAAAACCATCGATAATCTATAATTATGATAATCATGATTCAAAATACAAAGAATCATTATTTAATGCTATTTTTAATGAAAGATAATCAAAATGGCTACGCCTGTTATGTTTTTTTATTTAGTTTTTAGTGAAATAATGTATGTATGCATGTTTTTCCATTTTATTATGATTAAAAATTGAGAACAAATCTCAGATATCTAGTCATAAGTCCCTAACTTACATAACAGATACCATTAATTATTCTCCAACTCTAGAGTGAGGCTATATTGCATTTACCTTGTCTGTCTGTTCGTCATATTTTTTCTGGCATGATACACTTTTCTCAACTACTCTGGTAATATGTATATATGTACAGAACATACAATGTAATTACTTCATATTTATTCAGAAGCTTGACAGTGATGAGTTGTAAAGTATGAGCAATTTTTAGATCAGTTAGACACCTACTTCCTGTTTACCAATACTTTGAATTACAAGAGGGGGTAATAGTTTTACGAGTGGGGGTAATAGTTTTAGTGGGGATAATAGTTTTACGAGTGGGGTAATAGTTTTATGAGTGGGGGTAATAGTTTTATGAGTGGGGGTAATAGTTTTATGAGTGGGGGTAATAGTTTTACGAGTGGGGGTAATAGTTTTACGTGTGGGGGTTATAGTTTAACAAGTGGGGGTAATAGTTTTACGAGTAGGGGTAATAGTTTTACAAGTGGGGGTAATAGTTTAGCACGACAACCTGTGCATTCTTGTTTTGTAGAAGGTGTAATTTTAATGCTAGTTTGATATTATTTGAAGGTATGACTGAAATTCATAAAATGTGTAACTTATAAAGATTTTATTTCAAGCATTTGTTAGTTTGAACATTACTTTATCTATATTTACAGGGGATCATTTTTAAAAAAAAAAACATGAATTTTACAAGTTCATGTGCTGATCAGAGGAAGAAATTGATTTACCGCTAGGTAATGCATGTTAATGAATAAAAACTTTATTATTACTGATATTTAAATAAATTTTTTGAATTCTACTTTTTGCAGGAGTTGGTAGAACACCCCCTGGTGCTAGTAATGGTTACGGTAGAGGTGGTGCCAGCACTAGAGGGCGTTCTACTGGAACAACATCATATCAGGTAAGATTTTTGATGATCTAATTTACATATATGAGATTTGATAATCACTCAAGTAAACAGGAAAACTCTCGTTTGTATCACTTCACTTTACACAAGTTTTCAGGACAATTTTTTAGGGAAATGCACTTGTTTTCTGTGCTCAACATTTCAATGGTTCATAATCTAATGCATTGTGGGTAATTTGGTGAGTTAACAATGTCCTTTAAACAATGAATTACCAACCAATGGCTACGTTATAACATTTTTTTTTAGTGGGTGAAAAATTACAATTCCTTTCTTTCTAGAATTTAGTTCAGACAATCTGCATTTGGAAATTTTTTATAGTTCTAACAGATTATCTTATAGAACAAAGTTTCTGTTTTTCAAACATAACATAAAAGAGTAGTTCTTAAGAAGAATAGTTTGAATATAATAATATACTTACTTTTTACTTTTCCCCTAAGCTAAGCTTAGAAACTCCAAATTATTAGAACTGTGTCAAAGGGAGATAATTTAGACAACCAATTCCGTAAAACAAATTTAAAAGGAGATAATTTGTCATCTCTTATCTGAACAAAAATAGCCTTGTTGAGTCAGGCCGAGAAAAAAAAAATCTGTGTTTCTGGTAACCCGACCGACCCTGTTTTTTTAGCCCCACCCCTAATTTTTTTATTGAATCTTCAAAAAAAAAAAAAAAAATTTGTATCAACCGACCCTGTTTTTGACACAGGCTTCTGTTAATCGACATAATTATTTATCTAACTTGCTTCTACTGGCACAGAAAGCCAGTAAAACATTTTATTTATGTCAAAAGGTATTCCAAATAGGTTAAATCCAAAAAATTTGCACAGCAGGTGCTTCAAAAACATTGCAAATGGCCGCACTTCCGGTATTTGAAACTAATTACGGACCCGGACTTGGAAAAACCATGATAATTTTCCAGATTTCGTTTACAATGTCAAAAAAAAAAAAAAAAAAAAAAAAAAAATCCAACCTACCGACCCTATTTTTCAAAATGATTTTACCGGAAACACAGATTATTTTTTTTTAGGCCTCATGCAAGATCAAGTTTCAGACAGACTATACCAAATTATCAGAATCAAATGAGCAGCAACATTGTGGTCAAACTGAAATATTTATTATATTACGGTATAAACACAAAATATATGCTTTGCCATTAGTATTTGAATGTTAATTCATGCAAGAGTTAATTTGGTATAATGATTTCCTGACTAATGAGGGTTTGGTATAATGATTTCCTTTCATGAGGGTTTGGTATAATGATTTCCTGACATGAGGGTTTGGTATAATTATTTCCTGACATATGAGGGTTTGGTATAATGATTTCCTGACATATGAGGGTTTGGTATAATGATTTCCTGACATATGTGGGTTTGGTATAATGATTCCCTGACATTCGAGGGTTTGGTATAATGATTTCCTGACATACGAGGGTTTTGTATAATGATTTCCTGACATACGAGGGTTTGGTATAATGATTTCCTGACATACAAGGGTTTGGTATAATGATTCCCTGACATTCGAGGGTTTGGTATAATGATTTCCTGACATATGAGGGTTTGGTATAATTATTTCTGACATATAAGGGAAAAATTTCTTAGAAAAAAACAATTTTCAGTGTACTCTTTTGTCATGGAAACAATGACATTGTGATTATTTTAGTGCTTGAATTGACAAGTAGCAACCATTGCTTAGATCTGGAAATGTAAACAATTAGCTGAATACCAGAAGAGACTCTTATTATATATAAAAAGTAGGTAAAACATCAATTTCAAACCAGCCTTATTTTTTTTTAAATATGAAGATAAAAATATAAATTATAAGCTAGTCAGTTTTCAAACATTTTGATGCTGTTTAGCTGAATCAGATTTTAAAGTATTTAAAATGGTCATTAAACTAGGACATCCATGAGGAGCAAGCTATAGATCCACAGCCACACAAACCATGGGCCAACCGTGTGTCTTTTCGACCAAGTTTTTTAGAACCTGTCGATGAATTTGTTCACACGGTAAAAATTGTGATCTAATATTGCTTCTGCATGATAAAAATGTTAACATAATTAATTTTTAACGCTGGAAATGTGAATTGGATATTTGGGGTATATACCAAAAAAATGTTGACGCTTGAAGTCAGTGATACAAGAAAGCTGTTTTATGCCCTTTGCGCTGGCATGTGTTATATTATGTCAGTATTAAGTATTTATGTAGACAATGTGGTTCTAACAATATTTTTTTTTCAATCAAATTGCAAGAAAATTTGTGAACACTTGAATGATTTGTAATGCATGATGTGACGAGGAGACCAGTAACACACTTGTTTTATAAGTTTGAACCACATCAATAACATTGCTGATTGTATGTTGATTAACCATTCATATATCATTCAGCTTTGTATAGCCTAGGGGCTGGAGTAATTAAGTAATACTTTTTCAGTATTTGTAATTATTTTGGATAAAACAGAATGAGATTCTTTTCCTGTTGTGAGAGAGTTACGATATATACATTTATGATATGGTAGTTCAATTTTGAATTTCACAATTTTCTGTTATGAATTCAATTTTGTATTTAAAATTTAAATTAACAAGACAATATCATACCTCCTGGAGGACCAGAGGGAGAAATTCTTCATTAAAGTTTTCAATTTTTCACGGTTTAAATCTTTTGATTGGAAAGGACAGCAATGCCACTGTTGCCAACCAAGCTATAAATAATATCTAAACGAATTAACCACCAATCACAACACTGGAGTCTTTCACATGTGAGTTTAAATTATTTTTTACCACCTTGCTGAGCATAGTATTAGTAGACACATTGATGAGAGAAATTTTGTTTGTTTGTGTACTCTGTTCACTAGTCTATCAAAAAAGGTGAAACCAAAACTAAATGGAATTTGAAAATTTCATCTGAAGCATTTAACTGCATCACCTACTCAATATTAATTTCTAAACATTAGAAATGTGGTGAAATTCTAATCAAAGCAAGAAAATTAGTTAGCACATGTATGAGTTTTAGAGCAATGGATACATTATATTAGTATGGTAATTTATAGTATTTTCTTCCTTTTAAATAATTTATAATTAAACTTATAGGAAAATGCAAATATTGATGAGGTAATCTGTCAAGGAAATGTTTTTGAATAACAAAAGGGGAGGTAATTGGTATTGTATATCTAACAAAGGGAGGTAATTGGAAGTGTGGAGTTAACAAAGAGATACTTTATGTTGGGTTAACAAGGGGAGTTAGTGCTGGTTGATACATGTATTTTAAAGTTAACAAAAGGATACTTCGTGTTCGGTTTGTAAAGTTAACTAAGGAAATTATTTCATGTTAGTTTTGTATCCTTAAAAAAGGGAGGTAATTAATGTTTGGGATTGTACCATTATTAAATGAAGGTAATTCATGTTTGGGATTGTACAATAAACAAAGAAGTGTAATTCATGTTTGGGATTGTACCATTAACAAAGAAAGGTAATTCATGTTTGGGATAGTACCATTAACAAAGAAAGGTAATTCATGTTTAGGAATGTAGAGTTAACAACGGAGGTGACTCATGTTTGGGTTTTGAATTAACAATTGGAGGGAATTCATGCTTAAATAGAAATAAAATCATGTTTTAAGGTGGTATGGGTATCTTCTGCCATCTTGGATTGTAAAATAGCAGAACATAGAGGTATATATTATATTTAGGTCAGCAAATTTTGATGCAGGATTGCAATTTACTAATACAAATTTTATTTTCAGTTAAATTAACAAATTGATGTGATCTTAGGTTAGTTTCACTCATATTTTTACAAAAGTAGAAAATTCGTGCTTGATTTTAAAATTTGTTAAACTTTGGTATTAAGGGGAATTAACTCTGAAAAGCTATAATTTATAAGGAATCTTCTGGATTTTTTTTTATATTATGTTAAAACGTACAGTGATGCCAATTTTTCTTTTGATATTCAGAAAGCAGTTTTAAGAGCTATCTTCTCATATTTTATTTCAAAATTCTATCATTTAGTTCACCTTCTTTTCAAATAATAATGCTTTTTCTCTGTAAAATCCATACAAAATGTGTTATTTTTTTCACAACCTGTAGCCAGAAAACAAGCTTGGTGACAGACCTATCTATTTTATTATATTTTTGGACATTTCACAATATATTCTACATTTTGGCAAAGAATGAATAAATTAAATCCTATTTTGTTTATGCTCTCATACCACCTTGAACAATGTTAGTTATAATAAAAAGAGAGCTTATTTACGCTATAGCTCAGGAAAATATTGTCATTTCCACCTTCCAATGGTTGACAAATCACATTTGTACTCAAACTGAACTTAATTTTATGAACATTTTGACTACAGAAGTTTAAAGATATTTTTCCAATGAATTTACAAGGTTAATAGGGGGAAAATAACATTGCCACTCTAGATTTGTGTTGACCCCATTGATGACCGGTAGAAATGACAAAATCATCCTGAGACAGCTGCTGTGAATATTCTACTAACTCGTGTTAAGATCAGTGCAATTTTTGCATTGTAATTTGTAGGTTTGTCAATCATGGGAGTCAATAGATAATTACCATGATAAAAATTAGTTTTGCAAAATGTATTTCATATTTGTGAAGCAGTATATAATTTTCAACAGGCTACTTTCTCTGTGGTAAGACATTTGGGTATTCAATGTAGAAAAAGAGCAACTAAAAAAAGTGAAATCAAGCAAACAATCTGTGCAATTTTGGGAAAAAATAACCTGTTTTTTATGATTTTGTTGTGTTTAAAAAACATAGAACAGTTCATTTTTTCTCCAAACTGCACCAATTGTTAGCTTGGTAGTTGGTCTTACTTGACCGAGTACCAGGATGTCCAGCTACCACAGTGGAGGTAACCTGTTGAAAAACTAAAATTCCAGAGTCAAAATCGGTAATATGAAATTGTTCTATTGTTATATTGAATGAAAATTGATGGTACAGCATATACATAGTTTTAGTAAAAAATTTGAAATGGCTTTTTAAGCTTATATAAAATGCATGTTTCATTATATTTTATTATTTATTGAAATATATCATTTAGAATTGCATTTAGATATAAAAAAAGGGCATTTTTAGATGAATTATCACCAATTGCAGTATTGTGTTATGTGTACAGGGTTTATAAAGCTATGTTATGTCACCAATTTTTGAACTTAAGTCATGACCTCTGACTTACTATATATTCACCCCCTACTTTATTGTTGAAATTATGGTAATTGTCAAAAAATACTCATGTTCAATAGGATTAGTCCAAACTTCACAAAAAATATTTGTTTGGGCTGAAAATGACTGCCTTGCTAGAATATAGCATAAAATAGGATCCTATTGAAAATTCATGTTAAAAAATTGGCCGATAAAACCAAATTTAACCATCTAGCAGGATCAATTAGATCATAGTCTCAGATGAAATTTTTATACATATAAATGTCAGTTGCTTTGAGATCAGGTTATTCATAAGTTAACATGATCACTTTATGATTTATGCTTTTAGTCTTCAGTTTAAAGTTAACGTTGATCATGTGACATAACATTGTTTACACTGTATACTTTTTTTAAAACATATCAAATGCTTTGTAGATCGTTTTCAGTGTTTTTACTTTCACTTTGATTAAGGAAGCATGCTTTTGTAGATTTTTCAGTATTTTAGCTCACCTGGCCACTAGGGTCAAAATGAGCGTTTGCCATCACTTGGTGTTTGATATTCTTCATCTATTGTCTGTCGTAAAAAAAAACGATTCACCGATTTTCCATTTGTACCAACATTATCAAAGGAATCCTTTTAACCATAAGCAAGAAAATTTGACCAATTTTAGTATTAACTTGAAACACTACAAAATTTGTAAACAGCAAAAATCATCAGCAATTCAAAACAAAATGTCAAAATAGCTGAATCCATAAATTGACCCTTTACAGGAGTTATTGCCCTTAAATGACAATTTTGGCTGAATTGTAGAATTTTTGCAAATAAACTTGAAAGCAATAACAGATAGACCAAAACTGTAAGGAGCAAAAATTATCAGCAATACTAAATCCTCAAAAATGGCAAAACATTGAAATATTAATCTACTCCTTATTAAAGTTATTGCCCTAAAATTATTACTTTTGACACTATTTTACCTTCTGTCTTGAAATCTATAACAGATAGACAGAAACTGTAAAAAACAAAAATATTCAGCTGTTGATGATCTACAAAAATGGTAATATGGGAAAGTATTATTTGTACCTGAAAGGTGTTATTGTCCTTAAACAACTTTTTTTTTTTTACAAATTTTGGCCTTGTTGCCTTTTATTGTTCTTAAATTGTCAGCAATACAAGATTACAAAAATCAAAGGAAAAACAATACTTTTTTGTCCAATGGCATATCTTTGCCAGATGAGCGATTCAGGCTTTTTGGAGCCTCTAGTTACTTTCCCTTTGACTCTGGGAGCATGCTTTTGCTTGATTATTTCTATAATTATCACAATTATATAGGCACAAGATTACTCTGACAATCAAAGTAACGGTCACGACAATGGAATGAATGCAGGGAAGGCATTACGCACTGGCAGAGGTGGGCGAATTTACCAAGAGGCAAAACGGGACATTAAATCTGCCAGTAAACTGGGTTCCTCCAATTCTTTGTTAAGGTACCAGTTATTTATTTTTACAGCATGAATCCTAACCTCTCTATGTTGGTGTTTGTTTAATGTTTTGACTTATGTTTACATTTCTGCATCTTTATAATTTATCCAGAGCAACTGCTTTTTAAGTTCTGTTTACTTTCCGTTATCTTTATTGTATTGCATGTATGTTTCAATGGTGTTGCCTTTTTGTACACAAAATTTTGAATACCATTGTGCTGAAGAGCCATGACTCCATATTGTTGTCACTATAATGATGATATTTATTATCAGAAGTTAATTGGCCAAAGGTTCTGTCATAAAGTCAAAGAATACATTAAGTTGGTTGCATGTTTTAGGCTGACTTTCATTCTGTTCGAGACATATATCTGCAAGTCAGATTTTTTAAAAGTAGAACAGCTAGAAAACATTAAGGATGTTCGCTCCTCTTGTTTTTGAATTTTTGACAGATATTCGGAATCCTCTGGTTTTATCCATGTAGTGCCATTAAAATTTTGCCCATTAACCCATACTTTTCTTTCCATAATTTGATTACTTTTAGTTTAAAATGACATTTTTCAAAATCTTATAAAATCCTTGTTATTTTTTCATCATTTTTGAAAGAAAAAAGGTGCCAATGTTAAATGCATGAAAAATCTAGAGAGAATTATTTCCCGCCATATTTTCAATGGCTTATATCTCGAAAACAAGCACACAGATCCTTCATTTTTTTCTGCTTTTTTAGTTTCTTTGTTTATATACTATCAATTCATAATAGTCTTTTAAAAAGCTTGTTATTTTGAAACAGAGTAGCGAACATCCTCAATGTTTGGTTCAGTTAGATTATTCCTGGACTCTCAGTTTAGATCAGTATAGAATTAAGACCTTCTTGAAAGCTGGAAACATCTCTAAGGAATAATGATGAGCTCTTTTTAGCGCTTGTCTACTTTCATTTCTAAGCTCAAGATTAGATGAGGCCCCCAACAAGCCATTAAAAAGGCTTTCAGAGGTCAGAGGAATCTTGAACTAGTGGATTTATTGTTAATTTGATCTTGCCATGAATATGGATGAAGAATATGCCATTTGACTTTAAGCAAACCACAATCTGTCAATCAATGGTTCTATAGTCTTCTGTAAACATCAGTGGTCTACTCATCTGAGAACTTGAAATTTTGTTCTGTGACTTTTTGTTTGAGTATTTTTCTGTGGAAGAAATTATTGTCCTTTTTCTTGCACATTTATTTTAATTTGAACTAAAACCTTTGCTTTTCTTTTGTACTTTTCTTCAGTAATCCTACTCAGCTTGTAGAGAGCTTTTTAGTGTGCTTTTAATGTGTTTAATATCTGTGTTAAAATATATGTAATGTCAAGTACGCTTAATTCACCATTTTCATGTTTTAGGATTTTCGTTTTGCCACAACTGACCTCAATTTGGGGTCAGTTTATCTTATTATGTTTGCAAAATAATGACTGATGGTCTGTGACATATTTTTTTTTACTATTGATATGATAACTAGAAGTATGGGTAAACAAACCGACTGCATGTTGTCTGTTGATTGAATTAATGTTTTATAAGTCATTTTATTCTCAACTTTTGTGGGTTTTAGTTGGCGCTTAAGTCATCAAAAATTATAACTCATAAGATATATAGATATATAATTGCAGTCAGAATTTGTGGGGAAAAAAAGATTCAACAGACAAGTTATTATCTTTATTTTGGACATATTCTACTAGGATGGGCTTACAAGATATGTGACCAAAAGGGACTTAAAAGAATTAGTAAGGCCAATTTCTTTGGGCATTAGCTCAGAAACCATTGGAGAGTAACAGTCCACCAGCAGCAGTTTTTAACCAATGCTAAAACATTTGAATAAGAAATATTAAAAAGTTGAATTCTTTCATGTCTGTAAAGTTTTTTGTCTTTTCTCTTTGCAATATCAATGTAGATATAGTTTGTTAAAGTATAAAGAAAGTTTCATTGAAAAGGCTACATGTAAAGACATTTTCTAAAATTCTTTCTTAATTTTTTCCATGAAAACTTGGACTATTAAAGGTTTAATGATATCTTGTGTGTAAGAAACTAATGAGTGGGAGTAATCTGTCTGATTTTTTCTGAATATTAAATTTAAAGAATTTGAAATAATTTGATATGATTTTCAGCTTGTCCCCAGCCAGTCTAGCTCCTGATTGGTATGTGGCTGTTCAGTACTAACAAATTTTATAATTACATTATTTAATGTTCACTGTTTTCAGTTCAACTTATTTTGTTTTCAATTATGTTACAAGTTGCACATTTTTGACTAAGAAAAGGAAGAAATGATTCATGGTAGCCATGATATATATATGTAACAACTTATGAGTATAACATATTGTTTATCCAGTGTGAAAGAGAGAATTGTGTTTTGACAGTTAATGATGTATTACAAATAAAGTCTAAAACACACTCAAATAATCCAAGCAATCTGGCTAACCAAATTCCTAGCTATTCTGTTGGTATTTGGAAAAGTTATCCCAGAGTGTCAAATGTAAAGACGGAATTATTCTGATTAAAAACACATTTGTAATTAACATTGATTATTATAAAAATTTGAAGTCAAATTGTACCATTAGGTAGCACTTTAAGTATGTATTTCTCTTCTAAGATAATTAAGTTTCTTTCAGGTTCAATTTAATCTCAAGGTGATATTCCAACAACAATTTCTAAAGTCCACTTTACTTTTTATTTTAAGCGTGCAAATTATTGAGAATTTAGTTGTTCCTATGTATGTTGGGGTTAGTAGCATTTCACAATGGAATGCAGGGGCAGATCCCGCCATTTTTAAAATGGGGGGGGGTCCCAACCCAGGATAAAGGGGGGGTTCCAACCATATGTTCCTATTCAAATGCATTGATCGGCTGAAAAAAAGGGGGGTTTCAACCCCCGGAACCCCCCCCCCCCCCCCCTTTGGATCCGCCACTGGAATGTGATAGTATTCTGTGGATTCATTAATTTTCATTGGTTTTAATGGTCAGCGGAAACATTTTGCCGTTTTCCCCACACACTTTATCGGAAAAATTTCATTGGACATATAGCAGTTTGACAAACACTTATTTTGATCATTGAGAAGCTTAATATTTACTTAACAATAGAAAGTGATTAAAACGTTCAGCTGATTTTTACAGAGTTATCTCCCTTTAGTGTTATGTACCACCCTAATTAAGTGTATTCATCATTTGTTCTGATCAAATTGTTTAAAAAAAATGATTACTGGAGAAATACTTTAAATTCATGGTCTACATGAAATCCACATAAAATGGTATTCCATGAATATAGTTAATTTAATCCACAGTATTTATAGTCTTATATATAATGTTAGGTTTGTGTATGGTTACTGTGTAAACTGTTGAGATGAACTTAATTTTAACTGAGCAAACATTTGATTCTCTGAGGGGGAGCCTGGCAAATTTGATCAGATCAGAATATTTATTTGTCAAATTTGTACTTGACAAAATAATTTTAACTTAAAGGCCAAAAACTGCCAGGCCCCACCAAAGATTCAAATGGCCTTCACCTAAGTTAGTCACTATATTCAGACACCACAGGATTTTTTAAAAAGTAAAATTACACGTGAGAGGTTTTTACCACAGTTTGAGTAACATCACTATTTTCACTGTTTACAGTCGAAGAATAAAGTCAGCGTAAGTTATTAGAACATGCATGAACTACGTGTACAGCAATTATGCATGACAATAACAAAACATTATCTAATAACATATAGCATAATAATTCATCATTCACTGCAGCTCAGGTAGATTTTGTCAATTCCACATCGTCCATGAGGGAGTCAGCATAAAGTATTGCTATGTGTGCCCACCTTCAAATTGCTGAATGGACATGCTATTTCTTTTTCCATGATAAGAAATGAGAATACAGTACCAGTGTTTGTATTTGATATTTTTATTCCCCTCCTTTGAAAGCCTTCTGGTCTGTCCCAGGTTAAAGACTTACTTTAAGGTAGGTTAAATTCTTGGTTTAAGGTAGGTTGAAGTCTTGTTTTAAGGTAGGTTATGGTCTTGGTTTAAGGTAGGTTAAGGTCTAAGTTTAAGGTAGGTTAAAGTCTTGGTTTAAGGTAGGTTAAAGTCTTGGTTTAATGTAGGTTCAAGTCTTGGTTTATAGTATGTTAACGTTTTTTGTTAAGGTAGGTTAAAGTATGGGTTTAAGTTGTGTTAAAGTCTTGGTTTAAGGTAGGTTAAGGTCTCGGTTTAAGGTAGGTTAAGGTCTTGGTTTAAGGTGTGTTAAAATTTTGGTTTAAGGTAGGTTAAGGTCTTGGTTTAAGGTGTTTTAAAATCTTGGTTTAAGGTAGGATAAGGTCTTGGTTTAAGGTAGTTTAAAGTCTTGGTTAAATGTAGGTTAAAGTCTTTGTTTATGGTAGGTTAAAGGTCTTGGTTTAAGGTGTGTTAAAGTCTTTGTTTAAGGTAGGTTAAGGTCTTAGATTAAGTTAGGTTAAGGTCTTGGTTTAAGGTAGGTTAATTTGGTTTAAGGTATGTTAAAGTCTTGGTTTATAGTATGTTAAGAACTTGGTTTAAGGTAAGTTAAATTCTTGGTTTAAGGTATGTTAAGTTTTTGGTTTAAGGAAAGTTAACAGGTACAAATGACATGATCTACCTGAGCTACAGCATATACATAGTATACTATATTTTTTAACAACTGCATGCAGTGTCTTCTATATATATATGGGTGTCTTATTACCTGGTATGAATTTAATGAGGCTAATTTTATGCCCCTGCCATAGCGGAGGGGCATTTGTGTTACTTGTGTCCGTCTGTCCCGTCTGTCCCATCTGTCCTGTACGTCCCCAAAACTGCTTTCTTGGATTGTAAAATAGCAGAACATTATAGAATTTCTATTAGGCCAGCAAATTTGATGCAGGATTGCAACTTACAAATTTTCAGTTAAATGAACAAATTAATGTGATCTGAGGTTAGTTTCACTCATATTTTTACAAAAGTAAAATACATTTGCTTGATTTCAAAATTTGTTAAGGGGAAATACTCAGAAAAGCTATAATTAAGGAATCTTTTGGTTTTTTTTTTTATATTATGTTAAAAATGTACAATGACCCCATTTTTATGGCCCGACCATCACGGGAAGTGGGGCATTAAGTTTTACCCTTGTCTGTATGTCCCAAAATTGGTTTCCATTCTCCTACTTCAGTTTGCTTCAACTAAATGTTATAAAACTTATACACAATGCTTATTACCACAAAACACAGATCAAGTTCCAAGTTGGTTGGCGTCACTTTTACCATTCATAAGTTATGCCCCTTCATAAATGGAAAAATTGCTAAATCTGTCGTTTCCGTTCTCTGATGTTAGTTTGCCTCAACCGAATGTTATGAAACTTATACACAATGCTTATAATCACAAAACTGTCTTCACTACTTGAATCCTGCACCTATTTGTTGAAGTTGACTCATGCATATTTACAAGCGGGGGCATCTGTGACCCATAGACACATTCTCCATTTATTTTGGTATATGCATGCATCATTTAAAAAAAACCAGCTAAATATATACATATATTGTTGTCATGTTATTAATGAGGCTGTTTTTAAAATAATATATTTGGGCATATATGTATGCGTAGCTTACTGATATAAAAAAAAAAACAGCTTGTGTTTTTTTTGTTTTTTTTTATATTATAACCATATATTTTTAATCTTTGGTTTATATATAAATAGTATAAATAACAGATGTGGTTTATAAAACAATATTGCAGCAGCCCATCAATAAATAAATCTGCTTTTAACTCAAGAAAATTCATTGTTGTTTCACACAGAGCATTGAGGACGTAATGATGTTATTATGCAGCACTGTTAGCCTTTTGTATAAAGCTTCACATTTTAGAAGAGCTGGGTTATCCATACCTGGTATTCAAATCCTTTTGTAGTTTGAAACTTCTGAACTCTTGTTTGTAATTATGTAAGGAAGTAGACAGACAGACAGACAGACAGACAGGTCTTATAACATGCTATATTCTATACAGTGTGGCTATGGTGTTCTGTGTGATAATCTATGGCTATCTTTTTAAAATGTTGATCACAATAACATTTTTAATTTTTTCAAAACATTTCTTGTGCAGGAAAATTGATTTGACAAACATGACAAATTAGGTTCAGATGATGTTAAATATTGAAACAAAAGAGTTTGAAGCTTGTTTTAAATGACAATACAACCTTCATGTCTGATCACATTTACACAGGGCAAGTCCATTGATAACACTTCTGACAGGGCAAGTGACCAAGTCCTTTGTTAACACTTCTATACAGGGCAAGTCCATTGTTAACACTTCTACACAGGGCAAGTCCTTTGTTAACACTTCCACACAGGGCAAGACCTTTGTTAACACTTCCATACAAGGCAAGTCCATTGTTAACAGTTCTACACAGGGCAAGTCCATTGTTAACACTTCTGCACAGCACAGATTTTTTTAAGCAACAAAAAGATTTAAAATGTAAACAGTAAACAAATAATTGTGCATGTTATTTTGGACTCAATTTCTGCCTAGCATTCTCATCTGTTGGAAATGTTTTAGTTTATATTTCATATCTTTTCAGACATATTATTCAATGACAATCCATGACAGGTCAACATTTTTATGCCCCTGCGACAAAATGTCGAGGGGCATATTAATTTACCCCTATCTGTTCGTCCGTCCGTCGGTCCGTCCGGATTAGGATACATTGTTTGTCTGGCTATCTCCTCCTATAGTTTTGGAGGTACAACTTTAATATTTTGTAGGATGTGCATACACATAATGAAGGTGTGCATGGCCACAGGATTTTGATGTTTTTCAAATATTCTAAATGACAGGTAGTTGGACTTTTCTTTTTGGTACTAGCTGCATAAAGAGATCATGGTTTGTCCGGCTATCGATCTCCTCCTACAGTTTTGGAGGTACTGCTTTAATATTTTGTAGGATGTTCAAACACAAAATGACACAGGATTTTTATTTTTTTTTTTTCAAATATTCTGATAATGACAGGTAGTTACATAGTCATTTTTTTTTGGTACTAGCTGCCTAAAGAGATCATGGTTAGTCTGGCTATCTCCTCCTACATTTAAATCATCATACATAGTGTTAAATTTATAATTTCCTATTGTCAGGTTGGGGCATCATTTGTGTCTTACAGACAGCGTAACAATTTCAAGTTGTATGCCAACATCACTGTTTGTCAAATCTAAAATATGTGGAACTATACTCATGCATATGGCAGAGAAGAAAAGGGGGGAGGGGCATTGTCCATATCTAGTTTTATGTTTGAATTTGTTACAAGAAGCATATGTCAGTCTAGCATGTATTATATGACCCTGAGCTCATGTCTATGTTCCATTATAGGCATATAATATTTTGTAATTGAATTCCTAATGAGAAGAATGTATGTTTGAAAAGTTGCATATGACTCAATGGAATCAAGTTTTAATTTCACTGACCTCTTGAAATGTTTATATTATCATTCATAAATAACAAAATTTTAGGTCTGGGAATAAGGACATCTCAGTCTGCCAACTTAATATTTTGTTTTCAAATAAAAAATGTAATCAAATTCCAATTTGTTTTTGGAAGTGTTTCCATTTTTGATAACTGAGTTTGTTTCTTATTTCCAATGTACTTCTTAAATATAAATGACAACTGCTACTATTTTTGTTGAAATCTAAAAGAAATGAAAAATACATGAACTGATATTACTTTTTTTGATAATATAAACAAGAAATAACAAAAAACCATTGGAAAGTACAACAGACCACATCATAAACTGGGGTTTCCTAAAAACAGACAACAAGTAACACCACATGTTCCAGATAGAAACACTTGTCACAAAATGGGTAAAACCAGATGTACATGCACACAAACATTCACCCTAGATTTATAAATATATTGCAGCTACAATCAAGATGGGTTCATATCGTTATTTCCTATTTTTACAAACAAAGAAGAAGAAATTTGACTTAATATTAATTACATATATGATATGACAAAAGATTTCTACGCTTCTACTAATGTTTATTTTTACAGGGACGCTATGGGAGGTAGTAAGTACAGCCCTGGCGGTAGTACGGGCGGGAAAATTTCTATTCACGGTGGCGGAAATCTTAAAGAAGCAGAATCTGGTTACTATAGCAGCAGCTCAGAAACAGAACATGTCAACTTACAGTTCCAGCGTCGTATCTCTAGTGCTAACTCAACTTCCTCAACTCATCACCAACATCACCAACATCATCACTCTAGCTCACAGCCTCAGAACATGCCTAAGTTTTGTCATGAGTGTGGAAACAAATATCCCATTCAGAATGCCAAATTTTGTTGTGAATGTGGTATGCGACGGATTGCCATGACAACTTAGATATAGTTTTAAAATTATAGTTTGTTAATGAATTACGAAAAAATTTATATATTTTGTTAATGTTTGAACTAATTATACAGATATAATAATGAAAACCTGTACTAGGTAACAGAGAGCTTTTAATAACACCTGCTATGAAGAAAACATAGACAGCGAAGATAAAAGCCTTTGTAGACCTATCTGAATAAGAATTAACTGCGATATTTCTATAAGTTTGTTATTGATACAAGACTTGAAACATCACATTACAAACGATAAACCTAGCTGAAAAATCTGAGTATAGATTGCTCATCAATAGCTTTTAATTCTACTGGTATCTGAACCATAGTTTTTTTGGATGGTTACAGTTAGGTGTATCCTCACCTCAAACCTCAAAAATCCAATAATTCTTCTGGTATTTTTTAACCATAGTACTTTGGATGGTTACAGCTAGATGTATCCTCAATAATACAATAATTCTACTGATATCTGAACCATAGCACTTTGGATGTTAACAGCTAGGTCAGCCTAGGCATATCCAAAATTATCCAACAAATTGTGTTCATAAGCTGACATTATATTGTAGACATCTGTCACTACATAGGCTGACATTATATTGTAGATACTTGAAATATCAAAAAGTTGTTCAGTATGCATTGCTTATTCAGATGATCAACTTGCCATATTTTTTATATTTTTGTACAATTTTAACATTTGCCTTCACAAAAAATAACATTGGCAATGATAAGAACTAGATTGGGTGTTCTGTTCTTGAGCTGCCACCAGTTGTAATGTGATCATTATTTATTTGTGTGTTTTTGTGTTGATAGCTTGTATTATTCAGGTATTTTGTGATATTAATGTATGTAAAAAATATTGCTGCTTAATTTATTATGTATTTCAATAGGTTGCTTCATATGAATTTAGTTGCTGTCTTTTGTTATTCTCTAATTGCTGTTATGAATCAGAGATGAATCTGTTCGTCTTTTTAGTGGATTTCTGCTATTTTAAATTACGATTTGTCCATCATGATTTATCAATTCTATACCAAATCAGCCATTTTGAATGAACAATATTTTATCTGTGTGGAATTTTCAAATTTCTCATTTGTAATGTGATTAAAGAATTTATTGATTGATTGGTTGATTAGTGTTTGCTTTACGCCGCCTCAGCACAAAAAGGCTATATTGCAGCGAGCAATTTTTTTTTTAAAGAATTAAAGAATTGAGAATTTTTTTAATTCAAATATATTGCTCACTTGAAAATATGCTTAAAATTCTCAGATCTTTTCATTTTTTCAATCACACTTTTATTAATATTATGTCAGGCCGTCTTTTCTGTATGTTTAATATTTTTATTAAATCGGTTAGCTACATATGAAAGCCTGTCTCCAGTTGGAGTGGTCTAAGAATAGGCAAAAGTTTTAGACCCTCCTCTGTGTCCCCCACCACCTAAATGGACAAAGAGTTATCTTCTTTAACAAGAGGTATGTCTACCTTCTTAAACATATGGAAAATTAAAAGTATTGAAACTTAATCATCCACAGGTTTGTTGAGTTCATTGTGCTTTATAGATGTAGAAAGGGAGACTACTGGCTTTGTAACTTTATAATAATTTATTAACACACAAAATGACAGAATTACTTTTTAAAGATTTGTATTGAAGAATGAACACAGCAATAGAGCAATTAAAACAATCTTTAGGTGTAATGAAAATTTTTTGAATATTAATGTTTTTCCAATAATTTATTTTTTTTTTTAAATGAAAATGAATACAATATTACCTGACAATCTAAATCATATTCGTTTATTTTTATGCTCATAAGTGATAAGTAACCTTTAGATTTTAAATAATATCTAATAATTATTTTTGTTAAATTGAGTTTTTTTTGTGTTTTGCAATTTTGTCTGATTTAGTTTTATCTTCTCTCTGTGTTAAACACAGAATGTTAGATTATCTTTATTTGAAAGAAATGTATTTTTTTCTTCACCAAGTGAAAAGTTTATTTATTATGTGATAAAACAGATCATATTGCTTTATATGTAAAATGTAATTGTGTTACATTAATCATATGATATTATATATTAAAGAGAGATTTGAATTCTGATAGGAGATACTGACTCAATATTATACATCTTAGGCATTTCACTAATGTGGTGATACATTTTTTCCGTCCAATTATTTATTGCAAAAATATTTATTAGCTAACTGGGGCATATAATGTTTATTGATGTTCAAATTGAATCTGTCTTTCTAAATTTCAGTATTATATTTTTTGCAATCTCCATTTGCATGCATTTGGTTATATTGGCAAAATACTGTCTTGGGTAGATAAAAATGGAAACATTTTGAAAACCAAAGAAATTTTACAACTGAACTATTTGACTGTGCATTAATGTAATTTGTGCAAACATCTCTTGCTGGTTTGTTAGATGAATCATTGATTCTTCAGTCATCATTTTGTTAAGTGTAATTTGATTGGCTTGTTATAACTCATATTACTCTTTCAATATGCAGTAAACAAAGGCAACATCGATTTCAGGGTCCAGAAAGTAAACAAGTATTGTATAAAACTTAATTACATTGTTCTTTTGTATTCATTAGTGTATATTAGCTACAAGAAGCTATTTTTGGAAAAAAAGTTGATATATATCAGTTACTTTTGAAATGACCTTCATTAACCAGTACTAAATAGATTTTCATGAAATGTAAAAGAAGAAAAGTATGAAATGATTCCTTTAAATGAAATTGAGAATGGAAATGGTGAATGTGTTAAAAAGACACAACATTTCTACACTATTTTAACTCATTCAAAAGGTAATAAACAAAGCTAGCATTGATTTTATGGTCCAGCAAGCTAACAAGTGTCATTATTCTGTGTACATAATAAAGTATTTTAGCTGTAAGCAGCTGTTTTGTTTGAAAGTTGAATGATAAATATCACTTACTGTTAAAATGACCTTCGTAAATCAGTTCTAAGTAGATCTTAATTGATCGAATGTGATAGAAAAGGTATGAAATGATTCCTTTAGACAACATTTCTACACAATTTTTACTATTCCAAAAAGTAATAAACAAACCTAGCATTGATTTTAGGTTCCAGCAAGCAAACAAGTTTATTTGTTTAAAAGCTGAATGATAAAAGTCAGTTGCTGTTAAAGTGACCTTCATTAGACCACCCTTAACAAATACTTTGTTTGATGTTGCCAACCCATGCCTTGTAGGGTTGGATAGGTAATTAGGGAATTTTCTTTTTTGCCAACAACATAAGTTACATGTTTTAGACAAGAAAACAATGTTAGAACAGGATAAAAACTTAAAAACCCTTTTGGTGGGTAGGTAGGCAAGATCAAACAATTCTTATTTTATTTTTGGCCTTCAATGAATGAGTTCTGAATAGATTTTAATCGAATGTAAAAGCTCTTCTAAGAAAAGGTATGACACAATTTCTGAAGACAATAACTTGCACATTGCACATGTTTGAACATTGCAGTAAGATAAATATTTATATTAAATATAAGATTTATATTATTACATCATTGCTATTTTTAGATCTTGTTTGTTTTTCTTGTCATCATTCCAATGATTATATATATATCTTGCACAGCTGTTTTATTTTGATGGTCGTATTTTGCTTTACAATATATCTGTTACAATTAAATGATACACATAGTCACATCTTGTAAATTATTTGAAGTTTTGATAAAATTGGGAGAACAATTGGCAACCCTCGGGTGAATCCGCTACTCTCAGATGGAGGGACAGATTGGTCCAGTTTGGATGAGTGATTAGGAGCAGATACCAAGGGCAATCAAAATACAAAAAAGTTAATCAAGAAAATTGTCAACACCATGGTAAAAAAAAACCCCAAAAAACAGATAAAATTGAGAATGGAAATGGGGAATGTGTCAAAGAGACAACAACCTGACCAATGAGATGAAAACAGCCCGAGACCACCAAGGGGTCCTCAACACGGCGAGAGTTAATCCAGTACTCGGAGGCGGGCTTCAGCTGGCCCCTAAACAAAATGTGTACTAGTTCAGCGAAAATGTACACTAAACTCCGAAACATAAATGAACCAAAATTAAAAAACACATACAAGACTAACAAAGGCCAGAGGCTCCTGACTTGGGACAGGCGCAAAAATGCGGCGGGGATTAACATGTTTTGTGAAATCTCAACCCTCCTCTATACCTCGGCATAATGTATTTTATAGAGCGGAGTGTGGAGTGAACTTTTGGAGTGATATTTTTGGAGTCAGATTTTGGAGTGAAATTTTTGGAGTGAAATTTTGAAGTAAAATAGAACACAAGAATAAGAGAAGAACTGCAATTACAATGTTGTCCGAGATTTCCATTTAGAAAATATACCAAGACATTTTACTTTTAAGGATTTACATCAAAAGGTCAATTTCGGATACAAAATGGGGTTGGTGGTTCCTGGCAGATTTTTTTCAATAACATGAAATTTTTAAATTCAGCCCAAACAAATCTGTGGATCTATCATCGCTAGTTTTATGCAAAAAAGTGCCTTCCAATCACCCATTACATTATTTATAAATCGACTTTTTTGTAGTGGGTTGGGTCGGGTTCCAAATTCTTTTTATTCCTACATTTTGTTATTATAAAACACCCACGCAACCACACATCCCATATTGCCTGATAGGACCTGACACTATTTTAGTGTTTCGGCATTTAAAGCTTGGGATGGTCATCTTAAGATGCACCATTTTAATATAATGAAATATGAAAATTATGCATTATAATATATTGATATATTTATGTTTTAATTCTTCATCAATAGATCTAGATATGACAGATCAGGGGTCCAACTGTCAATTTTATGTTAAAGTCTTAAACTTTGATCTACTAAGCATATCTCCTAGACTTTTATGTTTGCTATACGCAACTATTGGTGCAACATTGAATAGTTGTACACAATCTTCGTCAAACTTTAGTAAATGCCAGTTTTTCATATTACGTTTTTTTTTATTTAACGTATATATGGGTTATATTTAGTTATTAAAACTAACGGAATATTTGTTTCTTCGATTTGTTTTGCTGTAATAATTCAGTACGGTCAATTGATAAAGCATCAGTAATACTATCATCTATTTCGAAGTTATCATAAACCCTATCTAAAAATTTCACTTTGAAATTAAGTAGATTGTTTATTAATTTGTTATGGTCACTTGTGTTTCTAATATGCGGTATTGCTTCACCTTTAATAAATCCTCGGAATACATGCTGTGAGTGACAGCTATTTCTATACAGATAGAGCAACGAATTTGTTTCTTTAAAATGTATTTCAAAGTCAAGAATGCTATGTGTTGTAACTCTTTGACCTTTAATTACATCAACATCTAAGAACGACAAAAATGTCGTTTGAAATTTCATAGGTGAACTTTAATAAGGGATTCTAATTATTTGCTAGACGAAAAAATTCTGTAATTTCATCTGATGCTCCATCATATATTATGAATCCATCGTGCCTTTATCTGCTATGATAGAATATTTTGTCTTTATGTTGAAATGCAGAAATTATTTAATTCATTATTTCGAACATAAGTATGTCACAGATTTCCGGTGAAGGGACTGCACCAATATTGCCGTACCTTTTACTTGTTTATATATTTTCCCATCAAATTCAAATACATTGTTTTCTAAAATGAGTCTCAACAAATGTATTAATACATTGACCGGCAGAGCATTGACTTTGAAGTTTGATTGTCAAAATTGGCATAGGCTCGTTCAACGGCACTTAATAAAGCAGCTTGAGGAAGATAAGTAATCATCTGTGTTATATCATACGAAACCAAAAGTCTGTTTGCCATAGGTTTTAATTTCTCAATGATATTAATGAAAGATATGTAGTATCTTTTATATATGTATTTTGAACAATAGGTATAAGAAAATAATCAACATAATGACCGATAAGATCAGTTACGGAACCACATTGTGATATAATTGGTCTGCCAGGTAGAATAACATTTAATTCATCAAATCCATCATGTTGTACTTGTTTGAACGTCTCCGTTTCAAGACGGTGAATTTGGAAGAATATAAATTCTCCCTAAACGTGCATCTCTTAAATTTTTGACCATTTGACAAAAAAAATGTAATGATATGTTGTCGATAATGCCTTAGTCGTATAATGATTTAACATACTCAATGACCTGGGTTTTCAATTCTGCTATGTTAAATAAATCTAATTGGCTGTAATGTTGAGTTTTTAGTTGTCTTGTGATTTCTGCTATGTAGTCTAGTCTGTCTAAAATAGCACAATTTGAATTTTTATCTGCCTTTATTATTACTATAGTTTTATCATTTTTCAAATGAATAGTGCTATTTTTTCGCCCTTAGTAAGATCGTTTTTTACAATTTTTTCTATTGGTAGAATAGATAATTATTGTTATTATAAAACACCCATGCAACCACGCATCCCATGTTGCCTAATAGGACCCGACACCATTTTTTTCCTAATATACTATGTACTCCAAAATTTCACTCCAAAATCTAACGCCAAATCTCGGACATAGCATTGTAATTGCAGTTCTTCTCTTAATATTGTATTCTATTTTACTTCAAATTTCACCCCAAAAATTTTACTCCAAGATCTCACTCCAAAAATTTCACTCCAAAATCTCACTCCAAAAGTTCACTCCAACACTCCACTCCATAAAATACATTATGCCCTATACCTCAAACAAACAAATGGAAGTTTTTAACGACCTTGACTGGCTATACAGCCCTTGCACGGTCGGCTCGGTGCCCGAAGGCGTTTGGTGAGCGTTTAAATAATTTTGTGCCATCGGTCAGGAACAGGTGGTGGACGCCATTTTGGTAGGCCGCCATCTTGGTTTTGCGAGTTGTTTTGATTTTTCTTTTGTTGACTATTTTGATGTTATGTCTTCACAACGGCTGCTTTCAGGGCCAGATTGGTCAGCTTGGCAGCCGGCTAACCTCGATGATGGAGTACTGGTAGATGAGTCTCGGACGTAGTATTAACAATGACAGGAAGCATTATCAGGACCAAAGTCGTGAGACAGTGAAATGGTGGTCCATCATCTAACACCTAGGATACAGCCCTCGGACGTCACTCGGCATACCACTCCCCCATCCATAATGGGTTTTGGAGTGTATGTTGACGCGGGAATTTGCCCCTACGCGGATTATAGCCTAACGTAGTCTGTACAGCGTTGGATTGGTTTCTGTCATCGAAAGTAGTAAGTCGTTGATCCATCCAACTGTAAACCCTCATCGAAGATAGCGGGTAAAGGAGAGCTGACCCAGCACGTCCGTTCAGTTGTAATGACTGAGACGTGAGTAATGAATGCCCTATACCTCTAGCAAGGAATTGTATATTTAAAAGGAATGGAAACGCGGCTCGAGATCAATCGGGATACCCGCAGAGCACCTGCAGAGCTATAATCCATGTGTGATTCGGTCGGAAGTATGATGAATAATATAAAGAATCTTGACGGTGGTCCATTTCCTGTCATATAGATCGGTCTTTTAAATTCACGGGGTCACCTTGCTTGAGAAGATATAAAGGAGAGAGAAACCCAAAATCAAGAATAAACTTCCATTCCGTGAATAGTTAAGGCCTTAGGTATCATTTTAATGCCTCATCGAACATACGTTTGTAATATTTTATTATGAAAATTCTCCTTAAAATAGACATCGGTCTTGCAACTTGAGTGAGTTTCATCCGAATTACAAAACAAAAAATAGTGTTTTGATTTTTTTCTAAAAGCTCGGCAACTACGAGGTGCAAAACAAAATAGTTGATATCATTATGAAGCTGAAACCTTATTCTAGCATTTTGCCATTTTTTTAAGTTTCTGGTAACATTTCTGAATTTTCTACGATTTTTCGAAATTTCAGTTTTGAATTTCATTATTCTGTCAAAACACGTCTTTCAATCTGGGAGTGTAATACGATTTCTTCTAAATATTGGAAAGTAGAAAGAATAAAGTGAGAAAATGAGATATCATTTTAAAGAAGGAATATTTTCCTACAGTTTGGTATAAATTACGAATGCTAAATGATATTGGTACAATGTAAATGATTTTATTTCGAAACATGTTGAAAATTTTAAGTAGTGTGTCAATAAATACACCAACACGTACGCCGTATTCTGGTATGGGTTAAATAACTACTTGAAATAGATGTGACATTGACATACAATTTAAAAGCTTAGTTTTTTTTTCTATCACATAGTGTTGGTTTTATGAAAATGGTGATAAAAACGAATTTGCTATGATTTTTCAAAATCCCATGTTTATAGTTCACATTGACGCCATTTTGTTCAGTCAAGTTCCACACCGACGAAGTCGGAAATTACAGGCAAGAAATGTATATAAGACTTCCGATTGGGATTGATTGTGCCGTTTTATACACGATTTTAATCATTTATTTTTTTGTCAAATACTATTTTTATACTTAATCGTTGTTTGGTATTGCAGTTTGCCATTATTATTAAGCTTTGCAGCAAATTAACACAAGCTTAAAAGCAAAACAGTTCCTTCCTTTTTTTCTAGAAGAGCAGTAGTCTAGGGGTCGCAAAATATTCCTTCGGTGTTAAAATAAATAATATGCGAATGTCGGAAAGTTTTAACTGTTTCTAATTAAAAAATGTATTGCACCACGGCAGAATTTAGCATTTATTAACAGG